TACCTTTGAGAAATCAATATAACAGTTATGTATTAACAGGAATTTCAGAGGTCACAGTCTATTAATTTTTAGACAGTTGCTTTTTAAGTTCTATTATTTGTTTTAACATACTAAAAGACTGTCTGCTGGCAGTTCGTGAAATGCAAGTTTTCAGACTTTAAACTGTATTAAACAGCTAATTCTTCATCTGTGAATTAAAGAAATGAAAAAACCCCATAAATCTCACAACTGATGGAGCCTAAAACTCAGCCTCGTTATAGGCCAGTGCACGTGGATTGCTCACTGTTGCATTGGCTGGTTTTAAATACCTTAAATGATGGTATTTGGTGCCAGGATGGTCCAATCCCTGTGGGTGGTGGGGTGAGGTGTAGTGTCTGTTAGTTTATGTGCACAACTTTGTCAAGTCTCATACTCCTAAAAAATAATTTCTTGCTTGTAGACCTGCCTGTTACACTAAAGCAGAAATTTCCAGGCTCTCTGCATCGCAGATTCGGAATCTTAATCCTGTGTTTGGGGGATCGGGACCAGCTCTGACAGGACTGCGTAATCTAGGGAACACTTGCTACATGAATTCCATATTGCAGTGTCTGTGCAATGCACCTCACCTGGCTGAGTATTTCAACAGAAACTTGTATCAAGCTGATATTAACAGGTAATAATCTCTCATCTGCCTTTATAATTGCCAATTCAAGATCACTTAATGGGGCTGTTTGTTTTTTTTAAGTAAGAGAGAAATGGTAACTTTTTGGCACCTTGACATTTTCAAAATTCATGTGTGTCACTAAATAGGTTTTACTGGATAATGATAATTAAATTATGGTCACCACATTCATAAAATACATTGTACTAGAGTCTCCTAAAATCAAAGTGAATATTTAAATACTTCACAAAACATGAAGAAAACAGCTGTACCTTCCATAAGGAATATGGAGCCAAATTACAGTGCTGACATAGATGAAAATCTAACTCAGTCCAATAGCCAGTTTTCCGTGGTCTAAAGAAATTATTTTAAAATTGGGATCATGTCTTGAATTAAAAACATAAATATTAAAACCCAGTTATTTGAATGGCTCAGGTTTTGGGGTTTTTTGTCTCTTACTTTATAGGTCAAATTTCCTGGGCCATAAAGGTGAAGTGGCTGAAGAATTTGGTGTAATAATGAAAGCTTTATGGGCAGGACAGTATAAATATATCAGTCCAAAAGACTTCAAAATTACAATTGGGAAGATTAATGACCAGTTTGCTGGATATAGCCAACAGGACTCCCAAGAATTGCTTCTCTTTTTAATGGATGGCTTGCATGAAGACTTAAATAAAGTAAGCAATACACTTAAATTATATATCTGTCAAATGATCAAGAGAAATAAATTTTTAAACTACCTTCTTATTCCATTAGAATATTGCATTACTGAAGCCTTGTATAGAAAGAAATATGAATATTCAGAATTAAAGTAGGAATTCAGTATGAAATGGTGTAAGGTAGTGGAGAGAGTCACAGAAGTCTCACTAGACAAGAACTGGATGGCTACACTGACAGGTTTAAATATTCTTGTGAATATTCAATCATATGCTTGCCTATAGATGAGACTTCTTACTTATATATATGTTAATGTATTGCTGTGGTATTTAAACTTTTGCTATCCAGGCTGACAACAGGAAAAGATACAAGGAAGAAAATAATGATCACCTTGATGACTCAAGTGCAGCAGAAATAGCCTGGCACAAACACAAGCAGCTCAACGAGTCCATCATTGTGGCACTCTTCCAAGGCCAGTTCAAATCCACCGTGCAGTGTCTGACGTGTCACAAGAGGTCCCGAACCTTCGAGGCTTTCATGTATCTGTCCTTACCACTCGCATCCTCCAGCAAGTGCACTCTGCAGGTATGGGGAACTGGACAGCAACAGCTCCTGGAGTGCAAACATTTCTCTGCCACTTCTTTATTGTGCTGCTTCTGCTCACTGTCTGGTTGAAGGGGTTGGTCAGCGTTCTGCTTAATTTGCACTGACCTGAAACATGAACAGATCTGAATCTGCATTGTTTTTAAAATCTTCTAAAGTTTAAAGAAATAGGTCATCCCTTAACAGTTTTAAATTAGAAGCAGGATGGAAATAGTGAAGCTGCAAGAGCAGCATGTTTATTACTTGCTTTAGTAGGTCACAATGTAAGTATTCTGTGGTTTTAAACAAAATATTTCTGTATATTTTGAAGGATGCTAATTAATATCTGCAGTAAAATTTGCTTCCACACATACATTTAAGTCACTTTTCCTCGGTCACATTTCAGTGTAGGATGCAGATAACTGATGCAGGTTAACAACCAAATGGGAAACAAACGTTTTTGTTACGCTTTGTAAACACTTGCCATTCACAATCTCTGTTTGTATATTGTTTTAGGAATGCCTTAGATTATTCTCCAAAGAAGAAAAGCTGACTGATAATAATAGATTTTACTGTAGCCATTGCAAAACTCGAAGGGATTCTTCAAAAAAAATAGAAATTTGGAAATTACCACCTGTTCTTCTTGTGCACTTGAAACGGTAAGGAAAGGTGATTGGTGAATATATTAATTAGGATGACATGACCAGGCTTTGATGGAACTGGATTGTTCCAGCTGAGCATTTTTACTTAGAGAAGGTCACAGATATATTAACAGTTGTAATGTTGCAAGAATTTTATTTTCATCTAATGCTTCTTTTAAAAGGCTGTAATTCCTAAGGCATTTTCACAAGTGACTTCTTGTTATTTGTGCTAGGAACCACATGGACAAGCATGAACCGGGGGCTTTAGCTGAGATCACATCCTGGTAAAAACAAACATGCTTAATACACTAGAATAGCTTGTGAACCTCTAACTTTTCATGATGCTTTTTTATTCTCTAGATTTTCCTATGATGGAAGATGGAAACAAAAGCTTCAAACTTCAGTAGATTTTCCACTGGAAACTCTTGACCTCTCACAGTATGTTATTGGTCCAAAGAATTCCTTGAAGAGATACAATCTGTTCTCAGTATCGGTGAGTAACCATGTCACATTTCAAAATCCAGCTGCACTTTATATGAGGACTCAGGGTAGCCTGTGTGATTCAGCCAGGCTCCCAGGCTTCACTGCTATTGCAGACTAAGTTGCATTCTAAAAAGAACGATTGGGATTTAGTAAAAAGTTCATGTTGTAAATTATTTCCCTAACCAGGGAAGGAATGGCAGCTTTGAAGGCCACTAATCCTTGCCTTACATTCACAGAATCATTACGGTGGGCTGGACGGGGGGCACTACACAGCCTACTGCAAAAATGCTTCAAAACAGCGCTGGTTTAAGTTTGATGACCATGAAGTGTCTGAGATCTCGGCGTCCTCGGTGAAGTCCTCAGCTGCTTACATTCTCTTTTATACTTCCTATGAACAGCGAGCAGTAGATATGGCCACGTAAGGCAATGTGGGTTAAGGAAACTGGTTTTCTTTCTTCAAAAGCAAAGTAGGCCTGGGAATGCATATAAATATGCAAAAGTACAGCAGACATAGTGACTGGAGGAGTGGCAGGGCTGCAGCAGGGTGTCTGCCAGCAGGGCTCGCTCAGGCCCCTAGCAGTGCTTAACAATCAGAGACTGATGGGTAACGCTTGTGGTCATACTGCCATCTGTGAAACCATTTACGAGCATTCTTGCATTACTGTTTATTTAAAAAAGAACTATATTTTTAGTCTGCTCCAAAATTAAATTCTAGCTTAGTCATCTGAAATCTATTAACAAGTAGTTTAAAATGTCTTAAAATCCCAAGGCATATCTTGGTTTATTTTTTTCTTTCACTGTTAATGGCCTTTTCACATTTCTAACCTTAAGCTTGATTCTACTGTGAATACTCTAGAACGATATAAACAGTTAGGAATGTAAGTGTACATATTGATTGCATACTTGCACATCAGAATTATGTATATAATAAAATGTTGTCCTTTTTGTGAGAATCTCTAAAACTCAGAGGATTGCATTTATTTGCCAGCTCTAAGTAATTGCAACACTACTTAATAAAAAAGCAGAGCTGTATTATTTTTTCTGTTAGCTTTTGTCAATATTTGTGCACTTCAGAGTTATTCTAAACAAACAAGATTTCCCTTTTTAATTTTTTTAATATAAATTTTCATGTACACATGCATTAAAAACCTTAATGAAGAAATTATTTAAAAATATATCCTGTTAAATGTATGTTTGGGTTTGGTTTTTCATTCTCAGCTTGTTATGTAATGATCAAGATCATACATTAGTAACAGTCTGAATCACATTCACAGAGTTTAAAGGTTCTCGAGATTGAAAAAAAATACTGTTTTGCATAGAGCTGATTAATTTAAAAACTTCTTTTAGTTGCGTCTTACGTATTTCCCTGCTCTGGACTGGAGTTAGTTTTCCTTTTCTGATTAGGTTGGCATTCAAGTCTTGCATTCTGAGCTTTTACCTGTGTCTGTCTTGCTGATGCAATTAAGACCAATATTGATTGTTTTCCAGAAGCTTACAAGCTGCAAACAAGTTTGAAGTGCTGGAGGAACAAAAATGACATCAGTCAAACAATGCCTTTTTCTTTCTTACATATTAATGGTCACTCCATCCTCTTCTGTAGCACATAGTCTGGTCTGGTTGTGTGCTTTCACTTTGGTATCCTTCTGTTAGTTCCTGAAAGGCAGCTTAGAACAACCTACTATATTTAACCAGCAGAAAAACAAGAATTTCCAGGTAAGTGCATCTGTGTGCTCAACATCACTGTTCTTTTGAGGGGTACAAGAAGGTTGTCATGGGAAACAACCCTTGGCCCTAGTGCACATGGAGAGGATGCACGTTCCTTCCTGGCTTAGAGGCTGTAACTGACCTTTCTAGGAATCACTTCCTGAAAGACCACAACAGCTGACCAGTAGTGCACATGCTCTAGTTTATTGATGAAACAGGAGTTGGCTAATGCTGCTGGTAAATTCTAGGTGCTGCCCTACTCAGTGTTGATTTTCAAGGACTAACAGGGTCTCTCAGTAGCCTTGGGAGGTGTAGAAGAGGAGGTAAGCTGTGTCAGCCTGCACTGCAGAGTCTGGGATCTTGGTGACCTGGGCATCATCAAAGCTGTACCAGTGTTTGGTGACTGAGTGCTTGCAGAAGGCCGTGTAGTGGCCATAATCCAGATCTCCAGCATGGTTCTGTAACAAACAATACAGTCTGTTAAAAACAGAGTCCTGTTCTGTCTCCTTACAGGCCAGGCTAGGAACTGGCAATTGTTTTATGTATGCACTTGGAAAAGATGGGACAGAGGGTTCTAGCCCCTTTTGGCCTAGGGTAGGGAATGTTAATTCAAATAAATTCGTTCAAACAGAGTAAATGGATGATGACGATGCTTATTTATTTTGCATTTACATTTGCAACCCAACTGTTAGCCTTGATACAGATCACTATGGGAGGGGCCCACTTGTTGCAAAGCCATGTCCTTATTTAAAAACAGGATTCATGCAGGATCCGCCTGTCTGAGGAGGCATTATGTGCCAGGAGTGCATTCTTTTAAATTTGGGATGTTGGGGAAGGAGAAATGACATCTCTGTCTTTTAGTTACCTACTGTTCCTGGATTACGTCCATGGCAGGTAAAAAAAGCGTACAACAAAATACACATTAAATTATAAATCATTATGCATAAAATCCAAACAAACACAGGCTTTATCTGCTCCTTGAGGCAGGAAGGGCAAAGCTTACCACTACAGCACACAAGCTGTACTCTGTAGTGCTGCGACACGATGTGGAGATGTAGGGAGAGAGATCCAAATCACTGAAAGGGTAGCAGACGGTGGTTGAGAGTTTTTTTCTGTTCTTGTCCTGCCAGGCAAACCTAAAAAGAAATTTTGAATGATTTTTAACGACCCTCAGCTTCTGTTTGCATTGTGGTCTTTGCTGGGAGGGGGGAAAACCAAGATCGGACTACCCAGCATTTGAAAGAAAGATCTCTATTAATGTCGTGTGTTACGGTAAACTGACAGAAAATGCACTAAAGCCACATGCGATGTCCAGCAAGGAAAGCAAAGCTCTTGCTTCCTGATCCTTCAGTCAAAGCCTGAAGTCATATCTTTGCATCACTCTCTCTGCATCCTAAACACTTGAGACTGGACTGCAGTGCCAGTGTCAGCTCTTCTCTCATGCCAGGCTCTATCCCTGTTCCCTCTGTAACTTTTGAGTACATCACCACGCTTTTAAACAGTTACAGTGTGGCCAAGAGCTGCAGCTGGGGACCACATGTCCTTTGAGAATGTTGAGGAAAGCAGATGCTGAATGGAAAATTAAATAAGAACTTCAGATAACATAGTTCTGGGAAGCCAAATCATCCCAGAGTAATTTTCTTTATAGGTGGAAAGTTCAGAAAAAAAATATTTAGAATAAGTTCAGCATCTGCCTATGTGTGGCTAGTGAAGTCTGCTAACCCAGGTGCTCCTTTGCTGATGCACCACTCTGTTCAGGCTTGATTTAGGAAAGGGATAAACAAAACCAGAGTGTCTCAACTGCAGTAGCAGCAAGCAAAACACTATCAGTCCCACTCTTGGAAGCTAAGCCACAAGCTCTCTGAGTTGCCACAGGAACTGATTCACAGGGCTTATAGAGGGACTGAATGAACCACTGCACTGGTCTGTAGTCAGTCAGTACTTGGTGGAGTTATTCTTCCCTCTGGAGAGCAGATCCCAAGTATAGGGAGAAATCTGGTGGGCTGCAGTACACAGGCAGGACACCGTGCATGAGAATTCAGGTATGCAACTTGCATGTTTGACAGCTGTATTTCTATAAATGCCCTTTTAGCTTTCAGGTATCAGAAGTATTAAACCCACGTATTTGCAGTGATTTGTTTCCTTTCAGGCAAACACAAGTGACTGTCCTTCATGTCTGACCTTACCCAGGAACTGGCAGTATTCTACCCCCACTTAGACTATACCTCTTTAGATGAAAAATAATGATCTGTGGTGCCTTGGTTATGGAAGCCTTTACTGTTGCATCTTGATTGCTTCCACACCAGTAGCAGTGGATTTGGTTGTTCAGAGTTAGTGTGTCTGGCTGAAAAAAGCATTCCAGGCAGTCCTGTCAAAGGAAAAAGAAACATCAATTGATCAAACAGATCTCCCTCCACCCCTGAAATGCTGAGCAACAAGAGGTGAACTTGCTCCTCCAAGTGCGATGCAGCAAGACTGACATTACAAATTTGCAAGACAAAGCAGCCAACATTGGCTTCCCTTCTCCCCACCAAGGCAGGAAATACTTGGATGACTGGAGGAAACCTCCACGGCTGCTGTGGAATGATCTTAATATCCCTCCATCCCCTGGCAGCTCACGAGCATTGCTCCTGTAACCTTACCAGCCTCCATGGTTCTGACACCAGTGAAGAGACCCCACTTCTCTAGGGACCAGATCCCAGACTATCCATTAGTGCCCAGGAGACTAAAGTAACTAAACCCCTGCATCTTTCCAGTAACACCTAAACATCTGTTAGTCTAAGCCACTACTCCCCCGTGAAGCAGAAAGCAGCAGGAATGTGTTGGCTCTTGTACCTGCAGAGAGCACACTCTGGTGGAAGGGATGGGCAGGGAGAGGACGGTGAAGCTCTCGGGTCTGTCAGTCTGGGCTTTGCATGTCAGACACCTGATACCATGATTGAGCTGTCCCTCAAATAACTGTGTTATAATTGACGTGCCACTGCTACTCCTTGTGCTTGCTCTTGCACCAGGGCTCTGTCTTTCTTGGCTTGGCTATATAGAAGGAAAAAAAACCCCAAAATGTAGATAAGCAATTACTTGAGAAGTGCCTTCAATGGGTTTTAATAGGTGCTGCCCACTGCCTGGGTTGATCAGTCGTTAGTCTTGCCACAGACCTTGTCTCTAAAATGCTGTTACTTTACTTGATGGTTCATACATGCAGAGTAAGACTGATTCCTTTTCTGAGAGAAAAGTAACAAAAATATAACAATTCAGACATCTGATAGCATTAATTGCTTGAAAAGCTCTTGATCAGTGGCTGTGGAAGGGAGAAAGACATGGGGGCATGGCAGATGTGAAGTTTTTAGGCAGATGAGAAAGTGGAAGAAGATTAAGTGGGGAAGGAGCAAGGAGAGGGAGAGGTTAGGACAGTGAAGCTACACCAGCATTGTCTTTTAGATTGAGGCTGCAATTTGATGGAGCATTAGACAAGAAGCAAATTAATAATTGTATGTACACGGGTATGAAATAAAGGTAGAAAAGGAAAGGTATCAGTAGCTCCATCATGGAGTTCAGAAGAGGCAATTATTAGATGGAATGCTAAGTCATGAAATGCAGAGGAAGCAGCTGTAGTTCCCAAAACACCACAGCTGGGCTCTCACCTCTTTGAAAGCCTCGTGGAGGTCATCCAGCACACAGATGAGAAATTCCTGTGCATCATGCTGAGTCCTCTTGCTAAAAGCTGGGTACCGCTTCCCAAAGACGGAATGAAAAGCCTCAGGGGAAACATAGTCAAACTCTCCTAGCCACATGTCGGACATCAAACAGCCAAAGGCAGTTGCAGACTCACCAATCTCCCTTGGGAAAAAGGGAGGAGTTTCAGGTGATGTATGGAAAAAATAGTGTCTGCCTTAAAATACAGAAACTCAGAGAACAGATGCAGGTACAGTACAGCTCTGGCAGCTGTCACTTGGCTTGAGGGGCTCTGCAGATCCCAGAATGTGGTAGGAATCATCATCGAGATACCCAGCAGTAATGGGTATTGCCATCAATATGGCAAGAAAAGCATCATGCTGAAGGACTCAGCAAGGAAACAAGCTGTGCTCTCAAAGGAGAAGGAAACCAGCTCGTGGCCAAGCTGACTAGAACTGCCTGGGAGGAGCTGGCAGGTGCCTTGGACATTCCCATGGCAACACGTATCCTTTGGATGGAAAATCGTGCCAAGCAGAAAGCTCTCAGTACTGTGAACAAACCAACTCACTCGTGCAGGGCTGTGTTCCACTTTCCCGAGAGGAAATACTGCACGAGTGGGGTCAGGCTGCAGAGGCACTGCAGCACTGCATTCATGTAGCACGTATTCTCCAGGTTCTGCAGCCCTGTGAGCCCTGGGTGCAGGCTGCTCACATTCTCCAGCTGTTCCTTGGGGGAATACTTCCATTTCCATGCCATCCTTCCACCTACTACGAGAAAAATCCACAACAGTGGAAATCTAAAATGCTATGGTTTCTTTCTTTAAAAATTACATTCACATTTATTTTCACCAGGTTTATAGTGGTGAAGACTCTTCAACTTCCCCACTGAGCTCTTTCCAATACAGTAAGATACATAATTATGAGGTATTATTTAAACACCTGAGGTTTTAAGAGTTATTCCTAAAATTCCATTTAGTCTTTTACTCCATATAGTTGCTCAAAAACTACAACCACTTGTGAATAGCCATCTTTAGGGCAAAATGCTTAATGGCGCATATTACATTATATTTCATTTCCTCAGGGGTACAGTACTCACCTGTTTTCTAAAGCCATAGGTTGCAGTCCAGATGCTACTATAAACAGGTTGTTCTTCAGATCTTTGCTGTAAAATGTTTCTTAATTCATGTTAAGAAAATTTTAGCAGGTTTGTTGTCTGGCTGCCTAAATCTGTCCTGGACCAAACTGTCCCCATCCCCAGTCAGGCAGTCGAGAGGCTGAACACAGACCCTACATCACCTACATGTGCTCACTGATGTTGCTGCCCTTTTTTAGAAGCTGATGTTGTACTCTGAGGCAGGACAGAGAACTCTAAAACAGCAGCAATCTCCGTAGAGCAAAGATGAGCGTGCCCCGTGTGTTCCACCCATCCCGTGTTCCATCCTGTCACCCTGGCTACTCCTGCCCCAGCCCCTTGTGATGTCACTTGGTTACATTGGGCAGGGAACACACCTGCCTCCATCTCCTTCCATGTGCCAGCCAGAACAGAAAACCTTGGGAAAAGGGGGGCACCCACCCATTCCACTGAGCAGGGAGCTTTGGCCCAACACCCCTTTATCCATGTTTGCTCATACTTGTATTAGGATTTATTATTGCCACACTCTCCTGGAAGGGCAGTGATGACCAAGGGTGTTGACCATAAAAGGATGGAGCTACCTCAAAACATCATACTGAATTAGTTTCTTGGTGTTCTGAAGATTTTCCTGAGGGGAAAAAAAAAGGTATGGCAGATGGCTTTTAATTAGCTACATTAATGCAGTTCATCTCTAAATTCCATATGCCACCGAAGAGCAGCAGTTTTTCTCTGTTTAACAGAGAACTTGGGAAGTAACAAGTATCCACAGAAGAGGCCATGAAGTGATTTAAAAAACCTTCTAATCATCTTGTTAAACTTTAAGCAAAGGATGTCTCCAGCATTCCTGGGATAGCTGTCACTGTTACTGACCCCTCAAAATCTGATTTAGTTTTGTAAATGGAACTGGATAGGTTTATTCCCCCTTTCTGTGGAATCTGAATCAAGAATTTGACTATTTTAATGTAACAATACACAAATCCACATGGGTACTACCTACTGCAAGCTCTGGGGCTGAGAATCAACTTCCCATTACTGTCACCACAAACTGGATTATTGCAAGGAAAAGTGTTAATTGTGAAAAGAAAGATTAGACCATCAGAACTTTTTTCAGAGGCTTTGTTATATGTTAAAAGATCCTATTTTTTTCCCACCTGGTCTTTTAGGAACATTTAATATGAACTGTTACTACCAAGTCTCCAGCTGTTGTCTTTCCCTCTCCAAATTCCTGCAGTGTTACGAGTTACGGCATTAAGTGAGATGCAACCACAAAGAATTAAAGTGTTGGAAATCACTGTCACAGGCTTAAAAACCCAACCCCCCTCCTTTTCCAAATCACAAGGCTGCTGAGCAGCAGCTAAAAGAACAGCTCCCAAGGAACTGTGTATTTTGCCACAATGCATTTGGGATTGGTTTTCTCTGAAATGTTTCACCACCTAAATACTGAAAGAAAGCAGTCAACAATGACTTCGGTGGATTGACTAAAAGTTAACTTACACAGCTTAATAATTTCCCTATATGATAAATACTCTTTTAAGTACCCTCCTAGGAGGAAATTCACTGAAGCATTTCAGATTTTCACTAAAACTAGAGAGGGTTTGAATTATATTCCTGTATTTAAAATCTACGTTCTAAGAAGATATGCCAGTACTTTAGTTCTTGGATAGTTATCAGAAGTTCCAGTTCGATCACTTTCCTCCTTTTTGGTAATCTAAAGGAAATTTAAAAGCTAAAAGATCACAACTCTTCCCTGTTTATAGAACATTTCAAGACTGATGAGGTTTCAGCAGAGGAGTGACACTTTATGTTCTCAAACAAATTAAATTTCATGGAATAATTTTCATGTTCCTACTGCCCAACATGAGTAGGATGTGGCACTGTCCAGTCAAGCTGCTTTTTCAAACCAACTTGTTTTTTTCCTTTGCCACCACACTTTTCCATTTCCATTCCTAAAGGGTACTTGACATTTATGATTTTTTTATGCTGGTATGAGCAGATCACTTCTGAAAGTTACACATTTCTCCCCCCTCAGTTTAGACATACACTCCACATGTAATTCAAGCTGTAAATCACACAGAGTAAGCTACTGCTCCTGCCAGCAGATGAACAGAAAGGTGAACAGTGGTAACCACTCCAAGTCTTACAGGCATTTCCCAACCACTTTTTTCCCCTTTTGGTCTTGAAAAAGCTTCAGGCCTGAGTCACTGCAAGACTGAGCAGAAGGAGCACTCCCCATGATCACTCACACCCATCACAAGGTGGTCACATCTGTTTTGCTAAGAAATGAGTCACAAGCAGAACTAGTGAACACCAGTAACACGGCTGAAAAATAACTGTGTGTAGTTAAGTTTTTGTCAGGAAACAGAAAGTTTCCCAACTTTTACTTACAACTTTCTCAAAATGTTTTTCTTCTTTAATACACGGAAATTTGCTCCCATTTTCAAAACACCAGAGATTCCTCTGGAATCTCTCAATTTGCAGAGCCAGTCACGCTTACAGACTCAGTGCTGCTGTTACTTGGCATTAGAAAAGTGCAAGTACATCTCAAATATCTGCCCATTCCCTCCCAGCAACAGGAGGTGATGCAGTCAGGGATCTCTAAGAAGCAACTCCTAATTAAACATTGTGAAGAGCTATTTTTGACTCATTTACTCATAAATTCCTTCACGTGTTTGACAACTATGACAGTTTTCACTTTTTTACCTCCCTAGTTTCTGGTGTTGGCCAAAGTTGTGATACCTTAAAGGCAAACAACTGCTTTGATCCAGCACAGCAAATTCTGCTTTTCTGCATAAAGTTACTTAAATTCACCAAAATAACCTTTCTGACTGAGACACAGAGCAGAAGTCTGTAAACAAGAATAAATTTATTTTAGATTCTTTAAAGATTTAATGATATACAAAATGTATACAGTATTATATCCTTATAACATTTTACCTTTCCCCATCAAACATAAAACACCATTTAAACAACTATTGTGTTCGTGCCTTAGGTCTGTATCTATAAGATACACTACTGAATAAAAAAATTTATAGAGCTATATACTGCCCTTTTAATTAAAAATTACAAATTAGTACCTATGTAACAAAAAAAAAAATCGCAGCATGAAACTTCAGTTGGACAACAGGTTCTTTTCTTGCTGAATGCTCAACAATATTTGGGACAGTTAAATTACATTTTATTGGCATGAAGGTGCATTGCAATCTCCCGTACTTTACACAATGCTAATCCAACCCTAGTCTCTCTTAAGTAAGTACCACAAATAACATAACATTAAAGATGTTTTCTACACAATTTTAAATACATTTACAAGTTATGTGTACATTCAGTTTTGATATACTGGTTTTAGGAGATCTTTGGAAGGCAGAACTTCTGAAGCAGTCACTACGTACGTACAAGGGAAAGCACTTCCAACTTGTGTTCTTACAAGGCAACTTATTTGGACCAGCACAAACTAATTCTTCTATTAAATATGATTATACCAGTCTATCATGGCTTTGTTACTATTTGACAGTGACTTGATAAAATTGAAATGTGTAAAACAAGAAATTTCATTATGCACAATTCAGGCTCTATTTCACAAAACAAAAACAACCAAGCCCAGTTTTACAGTCATAAAGCTGAAAGAATCCTGATTCAGGAGACTCTCTGTCTTTTGGAACAGATCAAGTTCCTACCTTCAACTTCAGTCTATTGGCATCCTATATACACCTCATTTGGCTCTGTCCTCTTCAAAAGGCCAGATTAAAAGACACCTGGTGAGAAAATATTAGTGGAACACTTCTGAAAACACGCTAAGAATACTCTGGCATTACAGAGGTAGGTGCTTTCTCCTGGTTTTGCTCATTGACAGTAAGACAAATGCCAAAAAGACAAATGCTTTACCTTAAAACATCAACTACCAAAGTCCTTTTGGTGGAAGGCACATTTCCCACCACAGGACTACAGGAAGAAAATCCTCCACTAAACCAAAATAAAATAAAAAATAAAACTTTCTGCTTAAAAAGCCCCTTTAAAAACACATCTTAAATACTTGTCATTATTCCACCTTTAGCATGATCAGCTGCCACGCTGCTCTGTAGATGGTTATCACAAGTCATAAAATCCTTAGATTATGGACCAGCCAAAATTCCACTTATAAGACAGTAATCCTTGTTTTGACAAGTCTTTCTTTTCATTATAGTGAGGGAAAGGTAAGTGACAATTTTGTGAGGTTCCACGAAGTTTGAACGAAGCCACTGAGTTGGTCACATCATCAGAGCATCAGGCGAATGGAGTTGGCCGGGTCGGAATCTTTGGTGCAGCTTCCAGGCTGAATGGTCAATTCAGGGGCATCGTCCTGAGGAAAGATGATCTTGTCAGGGGTGTAATCGTTCCTCTTCAGATCTGTACAAACACAACAAAGTTGGAATGATTACTATTTCTGGAGATAGTAGAATCAATGGGGCATAAACATCTAGCAAAGAATTGGATATGTAAAATGCACTTATAAAGAGGAATTCTAGGATATGCACTGTCAAAAAAGGGATGTTTTTATCATAGGTACAATCAGAAGCCTAAAGTCAAATTACAAACTGCTGTTTATTACTTGTTCCACTTTCACTGCCTTCCTTGACTATTTCATTACATATCATACAATCTCTCATGGCATAAATGTCTCATAAGGAGGGTACTGCAGCTCTTACCAGGAAGTTTCAGTTTCCTGCAGCAGGAATTACAGTGGTGCTTTGCTCTGAAGTTTTTTATTGCATCCTCTCCCAAGTTGGCCGGACCAAACACCATATCATATGACCTTAGAAACAAAGTGCACAGAAACATCACTTGCACATGTTCTCTTTTCAGTGACAATTTTATAATACTTGCAGTCTTTCTTTACCCTTACCTTTTTTCCCCAGCTTTTATCACAGAGGGATCTGTCAAATTTTCACCAACACCTTCAGACAGTACATGAAGAAAAAGTTAAATCTGATACATTTCTGATTACATAAACAATATTAAAAAACCTTGGAATCCTTATCTATGACTTCTTGGCTTCTCCAAGAATAAAAAATAGGAAAAAAATCCCACAACCCAACCAAAACTATACACGATTCTCTACCCTTAGAAAATTGCTCCTAAACTAGCACTTTGTACTTGTCAGATTTCTTACATCTATTTTTTGCATTTTCTAGCTTGAGTTTTCACCCATGAGAAAAATCTTCTATACAGTTCTCACTGCCAGAATATCTGGCACAGAGTTCAGGATAAAACCAGCTCACCACATTGGCACTACACAAATATACCAAAAACCAGCATTTCTTATGGCACATTTCATTAAGAAAAGATGTATATATTTATATTCTCTGTGCTGCTGTAAGATTTTATGCCATATTAGAACAACAAAGCTGGTGAAGGGTCTGGAGCACAGGTCCTGTGAGGAGCAGCTGAGGGGGCTGGGGGTGTTGATCCTGGAGAAGAAGAGGCTCAGGGGAGACCTCATCACTGTCTAGAACTACCTGAAAGGACACTGTAGCCAGGTGGGGGTCAGTCCCCAGCAATAGGACAAGAAAATGGCCTGAAGTTGCACTAGGGGAGGTTTAGGTTGGATATGAGGTAAAATATATTCACTGAAAAGGTTGCCAACACTGAAACAGCTGCCCAGGGAAGTGGTGCAGGGATTTAAAAGCTGTTTAGGGGTGGCCCCTGAGCACATGGTGTGTGCTGGGTAAAGTTAGACTTGACAATCTTAGAGGTCCTTTCCAATCTTTATCATTATATGATTAAATAAGAACATCACAGATCCAAACTAACTAGAAAAAGCACCAAGTAATGCTTGTTATTACAAACATGCAAATTCTTAACAAAATGCTATCAAAAGAAAAACCCACATATACCCTGGCCCCAGTCCAAGTTTCAAAGTCAAGGCATTACCTTGCAGATCTAATACCAAGAGCTCTCCTCTTGTATACTCATATGTCCAGTGGCTGAAAGCCAGCATAACCTCCTCCAGCATGTTAGTTGGGATTATTTCATCACCATTATTGTTATTATATTTTCTAAACTCTCCGGTCATGCACTCTTCAACTGCAAACCACTGGCCAGCAGAGTGGCAATATAACAGGAAAACTTCCAAGAACCTAGTAAAAAGTACACTTAATGAATATGGTTCCAAAATAGAGATCTATCATTACTATGACATTTTTATTTGATTTACTAACAGTTCAAATACTTCTAAACTATTATACAAAGCCATTTAGATGATCATACTAGATTAGAATCAGTGCAGAAAGTATGAGTGGAAAATACTGCCAAGGATAATTCTGCTTGCCACATTCACAGCAATATTCCAAGACATATCTACATATGAGTATCTTAATATATTTGATGCATCTGTTAAGAGCCCTATAGGCATTCCCCTGAGCCAAAAGCAGGAAATACAATGGCAGTTTAAATACACTCACCTTGGAGAGTATGGGATGGATTTGGGCTTCATCTGGTTGAATGCAAAGGTGAGCTTCTGTGCTGCTCTCTGCTGCTGAATTTCCTGTGAGTCAAACCCACACCCCATTAGCTGCATTACAGAACAGGGAACAGCAGAGAGCCAAGCAGGCAGTGGGAACAGTGTCTATTCCCCCAAGACAGGGTAACAGCTTACTTGCTTTTTTAATTATACCTGTATTTTAAGAATTTGAGCTCTTTGATTAAATAAGCCATCCTGGAGCAGAGTTTTTAACCCTTTTGCTCATATAGAACTAAATTATTTTCTTATTTTAGTAAGTATATACTAGTTTACAGGTGGGAAAATTATTCCTGTTTAACATATAATGCCTGTCCATGTTTAATAATTGACAAAGATAGAACTTACTCTCAAACACAAGTGCAACACAGTGTCCTCCTTATAAATGCTTGACCAAGTATTCACAACTTCAGGAAGAAAAGACTTGATGATATAAAGATGTCCTGATTTCAGGATATCATATTCTGACCACGTGCACACAACTTTGAGAGCTCGACGTAAACCTCCTCCCATCTCCTCTTTACTTAAAAATTCAATTTTAGCACAGAGCCCCAGCTGTGACCAGGAGGACATGCTGTTGTTCAGGATACTGGGAGAACTTTCTTCAAGGCGATACACAGTGACTGGTTCACCTGCAGAGCAACACAAAAAGCCATCACTGAATTTAATTTCCCAAGTTTAAAATTAAAAGCACTGAAAACTCACATTTCTTACAACAAGCTGCAATATTAAGTCATTACAAACATCTTGAATTAACAAAAAATTTAAACTGGACAGTGGGATGACCCTTGTGCTGTTTTTTTCGCAGAGCCACAGAATTTGTGCTCCTATTTAGACCCATCAATGACACTGTTCAAACAGCACTAAGAACAATGAATAAATGTTTGTTTTAAACAACCAGTTTAAACAAGTGAAGACAACTTAAAGGCATCCTTCCAGAATAGTTTGTTATAAAACTGTTAGTACAATATTAGCATTACTGTAACACCATTTCTGAGGACAACTATAATTAAATCTACATTTCATAATCAAGTGAGTTGCCCTGGAAAAGGTGTCATACTCACATATATTTCTGAGTGTTCTTAGACAGAGTTCATTAAGACTTCAGTTTCACACTTGCTGTGAGAAACTGTGAACTCTGCCTTGATCTTTCTATATTAGAAGGATCAAACCAAATTAGAATCCATATAAAGTTTGCTTTTCTTCCCCAAAAGACCACAGAGAACCAACAACAAGAAATACAGTTCTTACCTCTTGGAGGCACAGGAGTGAATGGAATGCTCTGTGATAATCTCATCAGGTTATTTCTTTCTACAGCTAGAAGAAAAAGGAAAATTAAACAACTTGTTGAAGTTTAAGGATCTTATAAATGTCAATAAACACAAACATTAGTTCATAAGAGGGACTGACCTGAATAATAGTAATTGATATCCATGATAGGCTTGAAAGGAGAAGCAATGCCTGAAAAGAGATTAAGGAGAAAAAAGAAGAAAAAAAGAGATACTCTTGCTACTAATTTATGTACTAAAATACCACACACACAAAGATCAACTGCCAAGTAACTAACTACAGTTTGAAAAGGATCTGCTATGAAGAAAATTAAATATTGCACTTAAGTCTTTAGTACCTCAGGGGAAAAAAATTGCAGTGCTTAATGCTAGGCTGTTTATTAAAAAACAAAAAAATCACAGTACTGTGTGTCCATTAAATTCCAAATTACCATCAATTAAATACATTTCTATACAAGACCCAAGCAGTTGTTTATATATAAAAATCCCTCACTTTTAGAGCAGAAAGAAAACTTACCATTCAATGCATCTTCTTCCGATGGCCTGTGAAATGCCACAAGAACAACAGTCATCTTCAAAACTTACTCTGTATTCCTTGATTTTGACACATCATCCTAGGTCACCTTGTTAACCTCACAGTATCACTCTTATCCTGTTGCCCTATTTTTCAAGGGCAGTACAGGTTTCTTAATTACAAAATAGTAATGGAAAGCTGTTAAGTAATCTCATGTCTTTAGAGCTACACTTTAAATACCTCCAAGTCATGCACAACATTATGTAATTATGTAAAGTTTGCATCACAAGAGCTCGTTCCCACAGAGGTGCTTTCATTAAAACTCGTTCACAGCAGCTTACCTTTCTGTTATCAGATAAATAAGGTAATGGCTTTAACAGTTAACTCAGGTGGTAATTGCTCTTGTTAACAATGTCTGCATAATTTCAGAGGTGGTTACAGTTTGAAAGGTTGGGTAAAGACCTCTACCAGGAAATGAGCTGCTCACTATGTGTCAACACAGTCATTTTCATGTTTTGCCCTCCAACATGTGACACCATTAATCTAAACAGAACCTGTTAAAGCATGATGAGAGTTCAGCCTGACCCACCCATGAGCCCTTGCAGCTCAGGAAGCCAACCCAGTCCTGGGCTGCATCCCAACAAGAGTGACCAGCAGGCTGAGGGGGGTAATTCTGTCCCTCTGCTCTGCTATGAGAGACTCCAGCTGGAGAACTGTGTCCATCTCTGGGGCCCCCAAGGGAAGAAGAACCTGTTGGAGAGAGCCTAGAGGAGGCCACATAGATCCTCTGAGGGCTGGAGCCCCTCTGCTCCAGAGACAGGCTGGGAGAGCCTTTTAAGTCAAACTATTCTGTGATGATCCTATGATTCCAGTGAATACATCTGGTTACTTATTAGAAGAAAAAATTCAAACTTTGTGGGTTTTTTCTCATTAAATATAACTAAATACTTCTATAACCAAAGATAACCAAAAAGAAAAACAGATCAAAATAGAGAGTGATAAAACTGCTCCATTAGTAGAAAGCTTACTTACATTTGACCACTATTTGAAGGTCTGCCTTGTAGCCAATCCTTTAAAACAAAGGAGAAGAAAAACAAAGAGGGCTTCAGTTTTGTAAGGAAAGCACAGTGTATTCAGATGGAGGTGGAGTGGCAATGTGTTTTAAGCTCTTGGAGTACAGCCTGTTTATTGGAAATAAACCAGGCTGTACTGAACTGCAGTTGAATGGAGAGACCCAAATACAACTGAGAAATGGTAACTACAATTAAAAGAATAAATAAGGCTCTATATTCACTACTGTTTATGTATTATATAAGTAATTCTTTTCCTTAAAAGAAAAGAATTTTGGTTTTTTTCTACGAACAGAAAACAGCACAGATTTTCATAGTGAGAACATACACAACTTCTTCCCTTAGTGAAAACAGGTCTTCTCTTGCCTCCTAGAACAAGCAAGTTCACAAATCAGTATTATTCTTTATCTGTTTCTTCTCCTTTACTTGTTCAGCTTCTAGTTCTGCTCAAGAATGTCACAAAAGGTTGATACAAACCGTCAGTAAGGCTGCTTTAGAGTCAACTTGCTGAGTATCTTCACTCGATGCTCTCCTGCTCTTGCTGTACACTACAAACGAAGGAGATTTGTAACTGGACAAAGAATAGCAGCTGTCACTGTCACCTGTTTCCTAATAGTGAACAAACAGACAGCTTAACGTAGCTCTCATGAAACAAGCCTGACCCACAACTTTAAAAGAAGTCTGCATTCCTAACTAGATCACTTTGCTTTCACAACTCTGGCTGTCTGTGGAAAATACAAGGTAACAGAACTGAGCTGGAATGGCTGAAGAACCACAAGAAGCAGAAGACTGAACTACTACCAAACATGAAAATATTTCAAGATGATTTAAGCATTTCTATTTCCTTTGCATTTTCTTAGGATACCCATTAGCAAGGCAAGTTAGAGACAACATTAGGAGACCTGAACAGAGACCAGACTTACACTGCTCTGAGTGGGCTGTCAGGGGGTCAGTGAAGCCACCACAAGAACTGGATTGTCGTAGACCACTATCAGTTTGAAGACCCTAAAAAAAAAAACAAAAAAAACCCCACAACCTACATTTACCAATCGTCATTACCATTATTGCTTTCAACTAGTACCCTTGGAACACAATCTGCCCTGTTTTTCTTTTTAGGACTGGCTCGGATTCTTCAGAATTTCTGGATGTACTTCAAATACCTCACTGCACAGAAATGCACAAGTTGAGTGCTTTAATTCAGTTAAAATGCTCTTCTCACAGCAGCCACCGGCTGTAACATTTCCAGGCACACATTAAGACTCCTGACCCACAGTGAAAGAGTTCTTTGCAAGGGAATGTTACAATAGGATTACCACTACAGAAACATCAATTACACTGGATCACTACAAGCACCATGTTCAGCTCATCTCTTTCATGCCTTTGTTGGCCATCAATTCTTATGTAAGAATGTGGCTCTGGCAGAAACTAAATTTCAATTTGCACCCACTTAAAATAGCAACAAAATATAGTAAACTCCTTCCACCTAAAAACTATGAGTTATGAATGCAATTTCCTCATGGATATACTCCTTCATAGCCATTAGACACTCCTGGAATATGTACTGAGGTGGTGAACTTTTGACAACCAAATATTTCTTTTGCAAAAAAGGAGAAAGGTGGTTTCATCACAAACTAGTAGTGTGTGTAGAGTGGAATAGAGCATGCTCATCCATTAACTCCAGTGGTTACCTGAATAAAATGTAAAAATTTGTTGTGCCCTGCTTTTGATTCCCAAAATTAAAACTGTTAGGAAGTTGTTATCAGCCTTTTTCACCCTTCCCTCTTACAGAATACACCCCCCACACATAAACACACACAGGCCTCTGTGTGTGTGTGACCACATGTGTATCTGACGTGAGGCTGTGTGCATAAAAACTATTTCTTTACATCCATAAACACCAGAACTATTTAGACCTATGTCAAGGAGACATCCAGTTTACAGATAATGAGACAAGAACAGACTCATGTCTTTACTGGAAAGAATATTTTTAGTATATGTTGAAAATAATGTCCCTAACAAATGGAAACTTTCTTTACTTACTTGAAGTCTGGTTGTCTCTATACCCTCCAATATAGCTTTTTTGAAGTCTTCCTGTTGCTCCTATCAAAGAAACAAAGTAAATTGTTAACAATAACACCAAAAAAATCTGTGCCAAAAATACACACAAAAACCTTTTTGGTCACACATTATACTCATTGAAAGGTTCAGAAGAAGCAACTCAGCAGAACAGAAGCATTGCAAATGGTCACAATGCAATTGTCAGGCATATTCTCCCCTGAATGCATGATAACTGCAAAGAGTAATTTAATGTACTAATTCAGCACTACATGGCAAACATTAGTTTTCATACACAGACATTTATACACACACATATATACACACATTATAGTACTTGGAAGGCAAGTTTATGACTAATCACTTTTCCATTTTAGTAATTTTTATTGTTCTTTAAGGAAATGGAAATTATTCATTTTAGTTTATGACAATTTTATTAAAAAACTTCTTCTTGGAGGTATAATGAACAATTTTTGTCACTTTTGAAAATTACATACACTGTCATCTTGCTCTATAAACTACAATGTAAATCACTCTAGTCTTCCTAAAGGCTGATCTTGAAATTTGTGAATATAAAACATTTAGTTAATCACTAATTATGGGATAGTTAATTTTATCTCGATTCACAGTTGTCATCTTAGCTTTCATAACCTCAGAGCTTGTTTATTATTTCACTAATATTCTATTATGAAGCAACAGTACTTGATGGCAGCTAAGGTTACATGAGTTTTCACTGGATTTTTTTTTTTTTTAATTATGAAACAGATGCAAAGTGCAGTCTGCGAGGAATGTCCCAAGTTTTTTGATTATATTTGGTCTTAGACTTTTCCAAACATACTGTGATGTTACAGTTTAAAAGAAAATGATCCCCATTAACATTAACAAAGCCTTTCATGCTCACCTCAATATCAGCACTTCTCTCCTTCATTTTGCTGGCTGCCTCCTTGAAGCGCTGTAGGTCCATGCTGTCTCTGTGACCTTTGACACAGTGAATTCAAAAAGAGGATTCAAAATCAAAGGCAACCTCCAATGTTCTGACCATGCCAATAGTCTGCATCACCAGAGCAAAGGGTTACAGACCACCTAAGGTCTGTGTGCCTGTTTGCACTAGGAAAGACATCACAAACAGACTAAAGTAAAGATCAGTGGAACAATATCAAACTATTGCCTTTCCTGCACTGGGGTGTGGAGCACCATTATTCAAAAAGTAAAGCTAATACTTTAAATTTTTACTCAAGCATATGCTCCTCACAGGAAAGGAACGAGGCCTGGATTACAGTACTTTTATGTATGCTTGACAATTGAAGGGAAAGTAGACAGTTTCCTGGAGGTAGCTTTTACAATATACCCTTCATCCTCCCAGTTGCAAGAAATACTTTTCAAAATTTTCCCAAGCATGTGGCTTTATAATGAATGAAAATCTACTTGGCTTCACAATTGAAGCCTGAATGTTATCACAAGTGTTGTGAATTGTGGACAATAAGAATGAAGGGTATGTTCTAAAGGCTAGAGATGTCAGAGGACCATATGCAAAAAATCTGGCTCCAGTAAATAAGTATAGTTAGTATTCAAAGTTATTAGTGGTGAAGTACATTTAAAGATTAGATAAGAGTTGTACAATCACTGTCCATAACTTCTGTTTAGCCTTGCTTTCTTTTTCAACCATAAGGCATTTATACACAGATAGCTAATATAGGTAACTTCTTAGAAATCCACGTTTCACAGCAGTAGAATAAACTCTTGTCTAGAGATTTAAATTTATACAACCTCAGCAGATCTCTGGAAAACACTGAGACATCCCTAAACAACTACAGCAAGACAACACCTCTGCAGGCAACCTGACAACTCCATATTACAATCTTCTACTAAACACCAAGCATACTTCAAGCATTATCTACTTTACAGGGATCAGTTAGTAAACCCACACCTGTGTTTTGCAATGAATCTGCCACTGTTTTACCATTCAAATATGTAGATAACTAACCAAAACCATCCACCTTTTTACTGTTAAGCAGAACTTGAGGGGAGGCAAAATGTTGTATTGAATTAAAGGATTTTGGAAGCTTCCAAAAGGACAGCCCCAACATAGGTTAGCCTAGGCAACAGTGGAAGATCCCAGCTGTAACAGTGTTTAGAAATATAGTATAGGAGGAACCCTCAGCTTGACACAGATACCACAAAGATATTTGTCCAGGACTCCATCAGCCTGAGTAGTGTTCTGACAATATTTTTGATTTATGCAATCAGAAGTAGGAGCTTTATAATGAGTCACAAAAGGTTTGTCTACTGTGCACGTACCAAGTTGTACAGCTGCTAATTGCCCAAAACTGCTATACTCAACTGGATAATGTTTTCCAGAAAAATATTGTCTATGTGACAGAATTATGGAGAAATTATAATTTCAGTTAAAAAAAACATTCAAGCAACATAGGGAAATTAGAGATGTTAAATGCAAAAAAAGCAGAGCAAAATGGTAGAATAAAGTCACCTGCAACCGGAATACACCCAAAATACCATACAATTCTTGATAAGTCAAACCTTGTGGCTTAGATTTGGTCCACAGTTTATGAAGTAGTCCCATAAGGATGTTAGAACATAAATCTCGGGTTTGCAGTTCCATTGCATGGACATGCTGACTTTTGGAAAGTTCATCTTTAAAATTCAATTTTCCATGTGAGCCGCCACAGTTGACTGCTGACGTCAAGTCGCCCGTTGACAAAGAGAACTTCGTTTGGGGCTTGTTCTTCGCTAACGTGACAGGGGACTGAGGAGCACATTTGTCAACTCTGCAGCTGTAGTTATCATTAGTGTCACTCTCATCATGAATAAAACCACAATTAACGTATCCTCCATTTTCAACACAAGGTTGGGTGAAAGCAAGGCAAGCAGAGCCAGAAGCAAGAGGATAAGAGCAGCTAATAATGACTTCAGGACATTCAGAATCTACCTTGTTATACTTACCCACAAATGCACCAAATTCTACATTATTATCTCCTTCTGTAGCCTTAGAGAAAACAGTCTCTTCATGCTTTGCTGAAGAATCCAGCTGACTTTTGCAACTGGGTCGAGATGGAGTGCTAACAAAAAACTTTGTTGCTGGGGATGTTACATGTGGCATGCTGTTGGATGAGTTGCCTAATTTTTTATTTTTACTAGTGGATTTTGAGATCTCTGCAGCCTGTATTCGTTGGCGAAGTTCTGGAGGAGAAACAGCATTTGAAAATAAGGCACTGCCTGAGGAACCTGCCTCTTGGAAGTTTTTTTCTTCTCTTCGGGGAACGAGAGCCAACTCCTGACCAATTGTCTTATGTTGGACTTCTTTGTCATCACGGATAGAAATGTTACAGAGTAAAGCGTTATTGCTCTCAAGGCCTCCTTGTGGAAAAGAACCAAAGACATTTCCAATGCTGTGCTTTTTCCACACAGATGATCTGAGAGAGCCGTCCTCAATGAGATTTTGTGCCAAATGTTTTGAAATGCTCAATTCCCGAGTGATTTCATTATGAACCTTGCTGGCTTCTGAGGCTTTCTGCGCAGTCAGGGTTTTCAGAGTATCCACAGTTAGAGCAGACAGATCCTGGAGGTGGCCAATTTGTGAATCTAGAGACTGTAATGACCTTTTAATGTAGTTGACACGATCACCAACTTCCTTTATCTGAATGCACATTTGTTCCACCCTAAGAAAAATCAAATTATGAAGTAGATATGAAAGGTATTTTTCTCAATATGCAAAAGAAACATGATCATAAACCTTTCTGTCCATTTAATCAGGGGTAAAAACAAATGAAATGTAACAATAATATGATAGCATTGGACTGTTCTGTAACACAACATTTGTACATACTTCTGAATCACAGAATTAAAACAGCTATCAATAGTGGGCCTTTAGCACTTTCTGAAATCTATCAGTTTCTTAAAACATCATGGGAAACTAAATAATATAATTGTCTCAGTTTACTAAGTGCTTCTATAGATCATGAAACATCAATCACATTATCAGTTTCTGCATAGCAGTGGAAAGGTACCATATAAAATTTGCATAAACACTTTATGTTCTTGAGCTGCATTTTTCCCCCTTTAAAGTACATTTAAAAAAACCTGTAAAAATTCTAATTCTCTATTCAGAAATTGTACTTGCAAATATTCTACCGTTCAAATGTGACTCGAATCCTCTCCTCACTTCCAGAATGAAATTTATCATCCTTTTCATTGAAATACATCTCAACACACAGCTCTTCAAAATCATGAAGTTTCTTCTGGTCTTCTTCTGTCAGGAAGAGCTCTAAAGAGAGATCAACAGTTAAGATGACACATATGTAGTGAAGTTGTACAGGTTCTGAAAACTAATAGTCAACTCTACAAAGGATGTAACAATAAAACGCCGCAATAAAAACAACAACAAAAAAAAAAAACAATAAACCAAAAAGCTCTATCAGAGGGCCACCTAAGACCATTCCTGAAGGTCATTGCAATGAGAGTCATTGCAATAAAAAAGTTCAAGGTCAGAGATTGATAATAAAATAACATGAAAATAATAACTCTGAGAGGATCTGTGCACAGTATTATCATTCCTTATGCTCCTACCCTTTAATCCCTTTGAGGCAGAAGTTAGATTCCTTAGCTGGATTTTTTTTTTCCCAAGTTTCAAAGAAGTTTCACAGAAAGAAAAAAATCTCCATTAACAATAACAAGAAATCTAATCTGTTTGTGTGATAGGTTAGTTTTACTGGAGATTTCTAGGGGTTGGCATTAAACTCTTGAGAAAAGCACGGTGATTTTCAAAAGAATTATCAATATTGAAAACACATAAAATTAAGACCCACTTTGACTTTCTTCACAGTACACATTGTAACTAAGAACACGGTGCTTTTCTGACTGTTTTAACCATATTAAAAACATTACTGCAATTTTTTTGGATAACTGTTCATACTTGGCCCATCTGAAGTCTTGTCTGTCTTTCTTCTTTTACATATACAGCAGAAGAGGGAAGCCATGTGGCTAAGAATGATCAGTGGTGGAGGCAGAACAGGTTTTTCATGGTAGGCCATAATGAAATGATAGCGCTGATACTTCCACACAATGTTTGAAATTGCCTTTACTTGTAAATACACATTGCTGAAAGGGAACAGAACAATATTAACACATCAAGGTGGTTTTTGGGGTGGTGGGGAGTTGGTGTTTGTTTAGTGGTTGTTGGATTGTTTATTTTTTTAACACTCTGATAACAATCTTAAATTCTGAAGCCAGTTAAGTAAGAGACAAAAGCATAAAATTGTTTTTTGCTGCAAAATTATTTTTTCAGAAGTTGGAAAAATATTCAAGAGAACACCATGATCCAGAGCAAGGAGAGGGCTAAAGAAATTCTCTGATCAGGTAACATCTCAGTATCTTTACTTAGAAATAAATTACACTGAGATCAAATTTCAAGTTTGCTGAACAAAAAATTAATTCTTTCTAACTAAACCCAGAACTTTATATCACACCATGTTAATTCTGCAGTCTGCCTTCTTCAGTGTCCATGAACTGCTTATGCCCATAATCAAACACTTGCAGAGAACTATAAAAGACAACTTACTACAATTGAACCCAACCAACTGGAGAATGTCAAATGAATTTAGGAACAACAGTCAAGAAAGACAAAGAAACAATTTTGTTTTCTGACAAAGAGAAGTTACAAAATGCCTTCAAATTTCCTTCAACTTCTGATTCCCCTGACCTCACAGATGTGATGTGAACCAGACACATCACACACTTCACTAACTTAGCCATGGGCTTGCAGTGAGGAAGAGACGAAGACCAGCCTTAGAACCTGAAAAAAACTTCCAGGAAATGAGATTGCTTTGATCTGGCATCAATTCTTATCTTGTCATCTTATTGTAATGGGATACAAACTTGTCCAATTATTAGCAAAAATTAACTACTATCTATATACTTACTTGAAAAATGCAATCAGGAGATTAACCATGATTATGTACTGTACAAAGAGGTAGACAGCTTGAAGAAACGGGGTCAACCATGTTCCTGGGCCACAGAGATGAGCAACTTTTTCATCAGAATTATTTGCACACACTGTGTTGGGAAAAAAAGATACAGAGAAGACATATACATCTTTTAGGACTCTCAGCAGGTATAGACACAAAAAATACCCTAAAAACAAAAAAAAACCTCACTTACAGTTTCCAACAACCATCTATCATACACTGGTTCTGCAATGTAAAATGTCTCCATGCATTTAGAACCATGGTAGAGACAACGTTTCTGGCTGATACCATGCTGTAATTATATTGACTTTTTTAAAAAAAGCATAGTACACCACTGCAGCCAAAATTTTGTCAGGATAGCTGTGGGGCAGAATTCCAAAATCTTGCTAGGAATAGTCTTGAGAGAAATTTTAATTATGTAGTTTTCACTCAAAGCCAATCAAGTTTTAGAAAAGAAAATGAAAAATCAGGTCACATAGTTATACAGCTGCAACCCACTAAAGGGAGATATTCCAATGAATGGAATCAGTGCCAACAGTATTGGGACTTTCATAAAATTGCAACTTCATAAGATTTTGAGAAGACCTTATGAAAGTAAGTTCTCTCTTTACTTGTTTCATAATTGCAGTGTCTTACCATCGATTTCATAGGCATAGACTTCACCAAAAATCATCCAGTATGGATGAAACACAATATCTCTAGCTAGAGTCCAAGAGGGTGCCTCATCAGGATACAGTATTGCCTTCCTGGGAACACCAAAACTAAGTAGTACAAGTGCCATAATCACCACAATGTAAAACATGTTGGCCACCTATCAACACAAAAAAGTCAGTTAATCCACAAGGTCATAAATACAATCTCACAATCTAAAAACTTTAACAGTGACAGTGTACACTTGAGAAATTCTATGTATTTTATAAGGAAAATAGTCTAGGACACAAATATTTCACTCAAAATTTTGTTAAATAAAAAGCCCTGTTAAAACCCCCCAAAACTACTGAGTTTTTTCCTGTCCTTTCTAATAATGTATTTAGTACCCTTGGTCATAGGCAACAGAGCATATTTCCCTTTCAACCTGAATACTATTTGGTACATAAGGAGCAGCTGACAAAGAGAAACATTCACTCCTAAAGGTACTCAATAGGTGCACAAAAACCAGAGGTAGTATTCCAAGGGCAGGAACATAAAACCTATGGCCCTTGCAAGAAATCAAAGTGAGAAATGAGCAACTTGATGCCCTCGTTTGTAAGGAATAACAGGGTTACAGCTTGTAAGAACCATTTCATAGAGGGAAGTAACACAAAAGCCCCTTCCACATTCATATATAGGGCTCTCAAGCCTTAAAATGGTATTTAACATTTAGAATAGCTACTGACAGTAGAGCTAGGTTATTTCAATTTAAGCTTAAACAATTTTAATATTTTGTGCGAGATGACAAGAAGCACAGTCTATTCCCTGTTTTCCATAGCACAAAATCCATGAAGGTGCTTTAGGACACTAAACAAGTTAAAAGTTTTGACCTAAAGAACACAAAGGCTATAAATTTCGGACCTAAATGGGAAGCTGAATCAAGACAAAGGCTTCATCATATTCATTTAAATCTCTGACATCTGAGAATAAAACAGGCCAGAGAAGGAAGATTTGCCTTTGACATTTATGTAACAGGGATAGTTCCATAAAGGAAGCCTGAAGCCTTCTAATCAGTGCTTATTTTGGAACCCTTCAAGTTATATTCCAGCTACTTAATTTTGCACACCAAGCTGTTATCCTATTACAGAAGGATAAGAAACTTCTAACTAATAAAACTATTGAGAGAAGTTGTAAATGGATGCAGTTGGGGACAAAAAAAAAAATCAGTAACAAACACAGTACTTACCATTTTGCCAATCATCATAACATAAGGGCCAGCCTGTTGATTTACAGCTAGAAAATCCAGTAATCGCACATACCAAAAAATTATATTGAGACAGTATGTTATTCTTCCAGCAACAAAGACGTAATTTTCTCTGTAAGTGTTTTCTCCAAAATCCCCCTTGGCTCCAAATCTTAATGCAAACCCGATGAAGAAAGTGACAATGGCAACTGTGTCACTGATATTGAAATAATCACTGAACCACACTTTGATCTTCTGATTAATCTTCCCAGCCTCTGACATAAAAATCTGTACAAGAAATGAAGGTCGGGACAGCTCATATTTATTGCACAGGGACCAACAGTAAAATATGTGAATCACTACCACTGTTATACTTGCAAAAATGTAATAGCTATTCAAATGGATAGCAGTCAAAACCAGTGTTTGTGTCAGCTTCACAGCAAGGAAAGGAGAGTCTTGCTCTGTTTAAAAAATTTATTAAGGAATTTAGGATTTAGTGGGTTTTGGTGATGTTTTTATTTCTTTTGAGGCAGTTACTGTGACAAAAATGAACCCTATCTGCCTTCAATTGAGCTTGAGGCACCAGGTAAAGGGACTAACTTCAGATATCCCATTTTAAAATTATTACAGAACTTTTGTAAAGTCTCTTGCTGACCAGGAACATTGTAGTTATGACGGCTCTCCTGTGTCAATAAAGCTTTTTTTTGTTTTGATATCTTGGTCATTGCAAAGTGGTAGAGCCTGCCTGACAAATAAATACATATTTTACCCACCTTGTTTTACAAGGCCTCCATCTAACAGCCTATACCAAGCTTTAAGATAAAGGTATTACATGATGTACTCTGATGCTTGAAGTTTCTTCAGTTTTCTTGTTTACATAATAATAGTTCTAAGCATACAGTTTTGAATGACAAAAAAGGCTAAAATCCCAGATTTTTACAGGCATACCTCACGAATTTTCTCAATTGCTGATGTGAAAATGTAAGCAATAACAATCCACTCCTGAACAGATGGCAATTCTTCCATTTTTACAAGAACCACAAATGTGTAGAGCATGAGGAATCCTAAGTATGCCAACTAAAAACCAAATAAAACATATACATATAATTACTGAAGGATCCTTTATAGATGTACATGGAATCTTTTCATGTGGTATACAATAAAAGCTTCAAGTAGGATTACAGGACAATATTTACCCTTTTAAACAGACAAGTTATTATTTACAAGGGGATACAAACATTTCCATCTTAGAAAAGCAAAAATAGCTGTAATAAGCTATTTATTTGTTAGCAAAGCTGTGCTCTTATTACAGCTATTTTCCTTTAGGAGAAATTCTAGCATTTCTATTACAGTGATTGAAATGAAGCTGTGCATGCACTTGAGACTAATAAATGGTTATAGAACTGCAAGCAACTGATGAAAATAATTACTCAGAGCAGAATTAAAAAAACCCAAACCACAGGGCACAGCATGTGCTTATGCAGTTTTATAAAATCAAGTATTTCTCATTTCCAGCTTAGAAAGGTAAGGGGTTTTCTGTCTGCTTTTTTGGATGGTGCTTAACATTGAATCAATCAGAGCTATGTGTTGGGAAATAACCCAAAAATCTGTGCTATATTTCCAAATAAAATACACAATACACAGAAAAAAAATCTCACCGTATTAAACCAAAACTTCACAATTGGAGCATGATAAAATGCATAAAACTTCTGAGTAATTGGGAGTCTTTTAGGCTTTGCTGGAGTCTCCATGTCATGCTTTTCAAAAGTACTGTCCAAGATCCTCACTTCTTTAAAAACCTCCTAAAATAAAAAGACTGTTAACTTCCCACACAAAAATACATGCTTTCTGGCATTAAATTTCACTTCTTTTACTTAAAAATGTAATTATTTAAGTGAGGAATATTGTTTTAATATCTCCCTCTATCCCACATTACCATAGGTATTTCATCTGCTGCAGTCTGGAAGTTGTTCTCACTGTCATCCATTGCCATTTGATGTGCATCTTGAGACTGAGGAATATGGGACATTTCAGCCTTGGTCTTATATTCCAACAGCAGTATAGCAGGAGGGAGTAAAATACTCAGTATCACCTGGAAAAGATGAAGATTGAGTATAAAGAGTTCACAACTACATTAAAGCATCAGAATACACCAACACACAGAATAGCCTCTGAAAATATATTCTCTAAATTTCACTTGCTTGCTATTGAGGGGAAAAATGTAGAAAATAATTAGTTGTTATTACTTGTATATACACTTAAGAGCTTAGGATCACATATAGAGTGTTCCTTGACTTGAAGACATAGGAAATGGGAAAAACCAAGAAATTCCAAAATTCAAAGCTACTAAAAAGAATGTACTCCAAGCCTGAAGGTAGAGATGTTCTGTACACACTCTGTTATTTAATCCACTCCCAGAAACTTTGGAAGAGTGTACTGTTAAGGTGTATTTTAAAAGCATATACAAGGTCGTGGTTTTTTGGGGGAGAGGGGAGTGGTCTATGTTTTGTTTGGTTTTTTTTTTTCAATTTATGGTAAAAAAATGAGCTAAGGTATAGATGAAGAGAGTAAGTGAAAGCTATTTACTATCATTAGCCTGTTACAAAGCAAGCAAGAAAACAGTTAATCAGTTATCAAAGAGGATTTTAGTAGGTCACAAGTTAAATGATGCTTGTAGGTATTTTGTAGGAAAGTTTTATTTCATTCTATTTCTAGCAACAATTAGGTTTCGGTACCTAGGTTCTCAAAGAAATATGCAACTCCCATTTTGGTTCAACTGATCTATATCAATTATCTCTGTCTAGATCATACTTGATCGATATCACACAAAAGGCATCACTGGAAAACCTGTCCCCAATTTGCCTACCCTTGTTTCATTCTGTGCCCTGCTTTTGCTCAGTTCCTCCAAAATAGGATATTCACAAAGCTTTTTTACATCAAGTCTTATGTGCTCCCTGTAAAAAGCCAAAATGCACGAAACTACAGTTTTACAACAGGTTTTCCATCTGTTAAGGGTTGTTACTACTATGTTTTTAGTAGTGGATTAGTATTCACATGATCTCTTTAAGCCTCTGATTAAAGGCTACTTGCCTGGTTTTTGCCTTCTATATTTCTGTACCTTATTTGAAAAGATAATAGAGTGTCAAAAGAAGCATTTACAACAAATATTCCAGTTTTGATTATGTTATAGGAGACTGGTTTACAGGATTTATTAATAAAAGCTATAGTTGTGAAAGCTTTACACTTACAGCATTTAAACACACACTTTCCTTCCGTTTAAACATCAGCTCCATTGACCCTTTTTACATGAATAAACTGCAACAGTGCTTACTTTGTACCATGAATTCTTCCTCATGTTCAGCCTTCCCATCCACATATCTGATAACAACATCTGTGTGCAAGTGTGTGCTACAAATGGACGGAGCCTCGAGGACACTGCCAGCTTCAGACAAGTGGAGTTGCTCCAGTTTTTAAGTTCATAAGTCAGTAACTTCATTGCCATAGTTTCATCTTGTCGGAAGGACTGCTCCAACAGCTCGACTGCCAGCTGACCAAACTCGCTAGAAGGAAGAAAAAAAACAACAAAACAAAATATGGTCTCTATAGAAATGACCGTGAGTTTAGCGTGAATTTTCTTACACAAATTCCCAACTTGCACAACTTGAAGGGACTATAATTTGTGTCTTCTAGACTAATTTTTAACCATAATACATCAGTCTGTGACTTCTGTTAAAAACATATGCATGCTAATACAGCTATTAAAACATGCACAGAAATTACACAGAAGAAAATGGCACATTGAGTCTCCTTTTTATTTGACTATAAATCAAGACTTGCAACAGCCCTCAAGAAAGAGCAATATGTAATATAAAGCTTCTACTAGAGTTCCACTTAAACCTTTTTGCAAAACATAATTGTCTTCAAGTGTGCTAACAGAACAATTCATGTTTTTTTCATAAGTAGCCCACTACTTTTACTGCAGATGTCAAGAAAATATTTTGATCAATAGGAATATAATTTACTTGGAATACTGTTTCAGTTCTTCTGAAGTATCATCAACAAGGTCACTTTGTTTTGCCTCATATGCCATGGACCGATAGACTTTGCAAGCCACCAAAGCTTTGGCCATGGACTCCTCGCCGTGCTGCCAGAAGAAAAGAGCCATCTTCTGCCTCTTCATCAGCACTGCCCACAGCAACAGCTCGTTCAGAGGATAAGCAAAACGTCTCGTTTCAGGGTCATCTATGTCAACTATTTCATCTTTGGTTCTTTTCTTTTTTCCCTCTTCAGCACCAGTGTCAATCTTTAAAATAAAACCACAAAGTCGCATTTTAAGTCGCTATACTTGGTCATTATGTAAACATCAAATAAAATGCTGAGTGATCCAATACCAAATAATAAACAATTATAAAAGAAAAAAGAACATTTTTGAAGACTTGAAAAGCAACTGGAACTTTTGTTCAAAAACTTCAGTTGAGTACAAGTCGTTGTAATAACTGTGAGACTGAATTAATTTGAATTATAGATCAAAGAAAAGCTGTAACTAATATAACTACATACAAATAAAAAAAAAGTATGGAAACTACCTGTAGTAGTAGCAGCAACACATGGAACAAATTTTTTTCCATCTATCAAGCCATGTGAATCCCACTCTCATTACTAGAACTCTGTCAAAGATAAGCTTTTTGGTCCCTAACATATCAAAGCTTATCCACAAAACTTCTATACAGAAAGAGAAACGCCCTTTACAGAATCCTGTAAAAAAGCTGCAGTTAGAAACAAGTACAAAAGCAAGGCTGAAAATCCAGCTTTAGCAAAGTCAATGCAATTGCTGCTACTCACACTCCAGTGGCACTTGGATTTCCACCAGGCTCCCCACTGTTAGCTACGTGCAATAAACCCCACCATGCTCCCCTCACTGCCTTACCTTTGGTTTGTACGGCTGCGCTGTTTTGATGAAATGATTATGGCGCATTTTTTCTTTCTTGTCTGCCCTGTTGCCAAAAGACTCATGGCTTTTACACATCTGAGGAGTAGTACTTGAAGGATTTCGCCCAGATCTCTGCAACAAGGAGAAAGGGTTTGGTTACTGAAACAAGGATGAACTCATAGAACAGCACAACCAGAATTTGCACTGGATATTTAACGTGGTTTCTTGTTGATTTTAAGAAGTCATTAACCAATATGGAATCAATCATTCCCCAAAACACAAAGGTTTGGGTGTTTTCAGTTGAGAACAAGTGGGCTGTTGTTACCCAAGCGCACGTACCCGATTGTTCCCACTCAGGCTGTTGTATATCGCTCTGAAGCGTTTCCTTGTGTAGGTGCATCTGTAGGTTCCTCCCATCAGATACTCAATAACCAGCCCCACATCAATCAGGTTGATTTTATATCCTGGAGGAAGATTTCCCTAGGAATACAAAAGGTATACTATTAAACTTGCTTAGAGTGTTTCTACATGTTTCATCACAGCTCTACATAATAATTTTTTAAAAAGAAGCCTTTCATGATAAAAAAAACCCTCCAGCACAAAAATCAAAAAGCAGCTACATGGCTCAACAGCTTTTATTTTTTAAAAAAGGCCAGGTTATACCTTCTTTTCTACATGAACTCCCCTGACAGCATAGATACTCATTCATTGGTGGGGGAGGCACTGAAGGTTTTTTGTCTATTGTTATAACAGCCAAAATTTCTCCATGCTGGGAGCTTTCAACCCCCCCAAGAAGATAAACAATCAAAAGAAAGATGAAAGACAACACTCTTTGGGTTTAACATCTTTCAGGAAACAGAGCACCAAGCATACAACAGAAGTATTGTAAACTACCAAAATGTCTGCAGAGATAGCTTAATACATAAAATAAAATTCTATTAATAAAGTGTAGATCAAATTGATAGTCAAATGCAAGAAATTAACAAAAAACAACTGCTAGCTTGACAGATTTTTACATGGAGAGCATACCTGTTTGACGTCCCGAACAAGATGAAAGAGTGTTGGGTTAGTTGGGCCTTGTTTCTTTACAACAAAAGAGCAAAAATTTGGAATGAGAAATTAGCATGTAATAGCAACACCATAAGAGGTTAATTTTTAAAACTAATTTAAAATATGAAAATGTAATAAAATATAAAAAATATAATTAATAAACTGCTCAAGGAGGCTTCTCTATAGAGCTTTATTAGCTAATGAATTCTTTTTTTTTTTTTGGTCAAAAGCAGATAGCGAGACTGTCAACATAAACCTAAGCCATATTTGTGTACTACTCACATCAGCTATTATGTGGTGGAAGGTTCTTTGTTCTGTCTTTGGATACTGTTATCAAAATTACCTTGAATTCTTAGATCAACACCTACAGCAACAAAATTTTTCTAAGCAATAATTATAACTATGCAGGTTGACAAATTAAACTCTTTCTAGAACTATGATGATGTTAACTGCTACAGACAGAATCCATCCTATGAAGCCCTATAGATCTCAGATTCTGGGCACAAGTTTCCCCCACATGACTTTCTCTCGTTCTCTTCCCCACTGTGGTTTGCACACTCCCGTGTCCACAACAGAGCTGCAATTTTCCCTTTAGTGTCTATCCCCACCATCAAACACAGATGAACACCCTGCTGACAGACAATTCTGGTGTTGTGCACAGCAGCCAACAGCATCCACTTCCCAACTCCAACCTCGAGCTTTCCCTACCAACACCCCACAACCTCCAGACTGCTGCACATGAGCCAGGAAACACAGGCCGAGCAACTAAAAAACGACTCTAAAAGCAGCTTAAAAAGCAATCATTTACTTACTGTATTATAAAGTTCTTCCAGCCTGGGGATTGTAAGAAATTTGTGCATGCTTACTCCATTTTCAATCAGAAGTTTCACAAATGCAACTCTGTCCATCACAAGAGCATCCAGCATAGCCTGTTCCAGGGAGCCAACCTACAACAAATAAGTAAAAAGGAAGAGCCTAGAGAGAGCCAGTAAAAAAGTGAACTTGGGTACTGAATCAACCTCCTTTATTTACAGGGCTGGACAAATCTTACATGTCTATAAAGATGTCACCCTGGGTTCAGAATATCCCCTGAACTTCACACAATTACAGGATGGGAGAATACCCTGAAGACTTGCAACTGTTCCATAGGTACTGCCAGCTGAGACAGTGGGACTAAGGAGGCATTTGGTTTAACATAATTGAGGTGTTCTCATAGGCTGATATTGGATAAAACAAACAAACAAAACAGACATAAAATATATAAATATCTAAAGCACAATTTGCTTCAAAGATGTCAGAGTCATCATGGCAATCAATAAGCCTTACACAGTATTGTGCTTCTGACTGCACACTCAATAAGCTCGTGAGGCTTTTTACAGTAATAGGGAGAAAAGGCATGAGCCACCAGGTAGTTCTTAAATTCATTTTCAAGCTACAAAAAATAGACATTTTGTCCCTCCCTCAAAAGACACTGCAGTGCTGCCAATAGTGCATTTTACTAGATGTTCCTTAAGAACCTTCTAGGGCCATGCAGCTGTAACGAAGAAAGAGCATCTGACTAACATGAATTCATCTTCCACCTTTTGTCATGTATTTTCTCTGCTAGTTATTCAGAAGAGTTAGCACATTTCTAAAAATTTGGACCGTTTTCAAATACATAATAGCAAAACAGCTCTAAGGCTATGCAGTACACCCAAATTACTATGTCAAAATAAACATGTCAGTCTTCCAAAGTCTCTCCCTACAAAAGTCATGATTCATCCTTTACAGTAAATTGTGCTTCCCTCTATTAGGAATTACCATTCTGCTTAATCCACACCATTACATACCAGCCATTGTTGCCCATAAACAAAAACGTGATTTTTGGCTATGTCAACTCTGTCCCACGCAAGTGTAAGAACAAGCTGGTCAAATGCAGATGCATTCGTGCCTTAAGAAGCAAACACAGTGAAGAAAACTTAAAATTAATTATAATACAAGGTAATAAACGTTCTTGCTTCCTAAAAAGGCCAAATCAAGCAATCCACCACAAAATTATGCTGTATATGTCATCATTTATGTCACATTATAGCATTATATAATGAGAACATAGATTTTTTTTTTTGTTAAAAACTTACAATTCATATTGGTATTTTATAAATAATCCATCACATAACACTAATCAATTACAGCTGGAAGTTCCAAATTATCTAAAAAAATTAAGTCTCACCTTTTAACAATGCTGTAAGTATTGCAACATCAATGTCCTGATGTTCATCTGACCCAATATGAAAAACTGTAATCTGTCCAGAATGGGGAAAACAAAGTTATTTTCAGGCAAAGGTGATTGGTTTCAGTCTTTAAAATCTTTTTCAATTCCTGACATAAGAGACACCTTTAATGCTACTTGAAGCCTGTCTATGCACGATTTAAACTTTTAGTGTACATTCTGTTTTTTTTTTCCTAAGAGGGAATCTTCAGTGAGGTTGAACTTCTTTTCCTCCTATGACTACAATTTACTGCTATCTCTAACACAGTCTCCTGTTTACCTCTCCAGTCCATTACAGATTATGAGATTCAACTGCCAGCAAACATGGCTAGCTGAATAAGGTAATTTTTTTATCTCAGAACAGCACAATGTGATGTCCAAATGAGACACCAGTCCCTGAACTCAGGCAACACATAACCTCTATAAAGTGGTTTTGCTTTAAGCATGCAGTGATAGTAGATCTTTATAAGCAGTCATAACTGAAAGATCCAAAAAAAAGAAAAAAAAAATCATATAATGTATCCACAAATGCATGCACCTTCCATAGAAAATTTTATGGCAAGATCTACTTACAAGTTCTTTTTTTTTCATGCATTCCAGCAGTGTCTGAAACAAATGAACTGCTTCACTTTGACCAAAGTTAAATGTCTTTTTGATGGTTGAAATGATTTCAGGCTCAGCACCCTCAGGAACATTCCTGAGATTGAAACAAACAATCAGGAAAACAATTGTTTTAGATGAACAGTAAGAACAACAATGCATTTAATTAGTTTCAACATGTCCATTCAAAGTCCTGCTATCTATAAGCTTATTACTGTTGTTGGGGCAAAACCTTGGTTAACCTTTAGAAAGAACTACAGGTTACTTAATCAACAATTCTACACTACTGCCTCCTAAAAGTAAAACCTTCTCTTCCTTTCCTTCCCATATTGAGTTCTGAGATACTCTCAACCAAAGGATTTTTACACAAAATAATAAGCAGTGACTCCTCTGAGTAAGACCCATTTGTGATCTTACCATGGACAAAGCTGTTTGGTTACAGCTACATTAGATCCCTGCCTCCCGAGGTTCTGAGGCAGCCCCTGCAACCAGCACCCAGTGTGTTTAAGGATTGATGCAAGCCTGGCAGCTAACTAGAAATCACCAAGTATTGTGGAGTCCAAGCACATCCCTTTTATTATTTGAAGCTACACTCAAAACAGAGAAGTGTTTTCTACACTAAACAGAAAAGGCTTTTGTACAGATTCATGAAGAAAAGGTCTCAAAACTCATCTGTGGATGACAAACATACATGCATCTGCACATCTTGTCATTTATCTGTGAAGCGTCTGGACACAATCCTGTGCTGTGTGCTCTGGGATGACCCACCGTGGTCCCTTCCAACCTGACCCATTCAGTGGCTCTGTGCCAGTCTGGCACTGCTGGCACTCACCCCCCCTCCTCTGTCTGCTTGTGAACATAGGCCAGGATGTCTGCAGCTCTGCCAGTTCCTTCACACACCACCACAGGCACTGGAGGGCTCTCCTGAAGGAAGTCTAGAACTGTGAGGATGACATTGGGGCCACCTTCAAACACAAGTGCCACCACAGGCACACCTTGGCCAATTCCTGTAAAAAGGCAAACAAATAATAAAATCCAGACAATGCTGTAAATGTACAGAGAATGCTAACGCCAGTTTTACACATTCAATAAATCAGGTTTGTCCTTTCTATTGAACCAACATTAAAATGCTGCCTGCCAGACATCAACTGTTGGTAATGCACGATTTCAAGCACTTTATATTCTGGGCTGAGACACAAGCACTGCCAAGCTGGTCAATACAACAGGATACAGTCTACAAAACAAGAGAGACCTCATAGAAACATTCACAAACTACTGCAGAAAACTGGAGAATTTTTCTTTCTGGAATTCCTCTTTTAACTTCCCCCAAAAGTTTTCGAAGGTGACAACGCATACACAGTTTGAACATAGGTAAACAGGAACCCTCTACTGATGGGAAATACTGCAAAAGCATTCCTGTAAGGGTCAGAATGTGTTGCTCCACAACTGGGAAAACACCAAACTGCAAATTATGCAACTGTAAGTGATCAGTGTCAAAACCATTAATTAACCAGACCAATAAGGTCTGACAACACACCAAGACCTGAAGTGACATGCATTTGTATTTACAAAGTAAATAGACAACTCTATTCAAAAAGGATTCCTCTGTGGTCCCAGAGAAATCATAAATCTACCAGCAATAACTAGGGTGCAGAGCAGCTGTTAGAAATTTTAGACTTGAAGTATAAACAGAAGTTTTAATTTTTTTATTTTGTCATTCAGATGTTAGGTGCAAACACCTTTTTCATTAAGCTGCAGTAACAGCCCTCAGGCACCAGGATTACTTACTTGCATGGATCCGTTGCAAATTAATCGTTTTTTCCAGTTCTCTTCGCAGTTTAACTTCTGCTCCATACTTTCCAACTGTTCCATCATCCACCAGAATGAAATGGGAATGGAGGTTATTTAGGACGTTTAGTTTACTTAATGGATTTAACAAGGTCTGATATGGAGCAACCACCTAAGTGTAAGCACACAACAATGTCTTTTACTTGCAAAGATTCACACTTGTTTCTGTGAAACTTAACTAGACACAAGAACTGGTGGCTCAACAAGAAGCACTGACACATACAAGGAAGCACTGACACATAAGCATGCCTTGGATCAGGATACACCAACAGCTGCAGCTCTGAACTTTGGGCAGGGAATCATAATTGCATCACTAAAGGATGCTGTTCTGAAGGGTAACAGAGAAAAGATCCTTTGAAAAGGTGTCTTTGGGGAAAATGTGTAACTTCTCTGGAAAACAGTAGCACTGAACACTCCACATCAAAATTTTTCAACTTATTATCCTCTCTAAATGTGAATTCTCTGTAATAGCATTTTTGTTATTTGATTCAATGACATCAAATTGATATTATTGATAGTGAGGGGGGAAGATTGTAACAAGCTCCTCCTGTAGCACATTTGCCTTTTGCAACTTGTTTACAGTAACAATCTTGCACAAATCACAGATGTCAGTGTATCTCCACAGTAAAGCAAGTATTCCAATGATGCAAAGCAAGGGAAAAACATGCTTGAGCAGATGTGCCAAAAGGAAATGAGGTAAATCATTATTTCAGTTAGGTAATTCATCCTTACATCTCTTCCAACAAGGTCGTTTCTGTTTTCAATCACTCCCCACGGAGCAATCCCAATAGTGCAAATCTTTCGAGATGATCTGGAAGCATGTTCTCTTAGAGCATCACCAACATGTTTTGCAACACCTGTTTGTGCATAAAAATATTCCAGTGCATTGAATGCCACATCTTACTAAGAATATAATTATTTGTTTAGGTAACCAGACCTTTAACTGTTTTATTTAGATAATCGGGCTTTAAGGATCTGGAAACTTACTGACACATTACCAAACAAAAGGCACCATGCTACATGTACTAGGAGGAAACAGTCATTCAACAAAACAAATATTAGCCTAACAAGAAGTAAAGAATTCCCAGCACATTACTGTACTACTTTTTAATCACATTAAGCTCTTCCTTGTTTCAAAAACAAAGCCCAGAAAACAATCAACCAAACAAAACAAAGCCCAAAACCCAATCCCTCTATATGTTATTTCTATTTTAAATACAAAACAGTAGCCCACTTTCAAGTAATACACATTTTCAAAATGTATTCTTTTAATTTCACTTGACCAAACTCACTCAAATTTACTTTGTTTTAGGATGCAGCAATGCATCCATACATTAAATCTTTTGGCTCTCTGTAATCCAGTTAATTGTTCACATTCTTTGCTAATTCCTTACCTGTGTTCACTCCTCCAGTTATAATCCAGGCTCCTGTGGTTACTGCAGCTTTGATAAGACCTTTGCCAAGTAACTGTTTGATGCGTGGGTGAAGTTCAAATTTCTGCATGCCCCCATGGACAGATATAACAAGTTTTGGCAACTCCATCTGCCATTCTTTTAGCATAAGTTGCAGAATAGCTTCAGGCTTAGTGTCATATGACAATCGTACATACTGCAGGCATAAGAACAGAGTTAAAAGGTTCAAATGTGTAAAAAGAAGAACCAGGATGTACTTCAGGATAAATTATCCTACTCCTGACTATGGAAACTGTAATTCATTTTTTCAAAACACAGCAGATGCAATAAATGAACAAGTTTCCTCTAAATCCTCTATAGTCCAGATGAGACAGTTTTGAAAGCAAATTTTGGAAATAAAACAGCTACAGAAAGATCATGGTATTCCATCCTACTGGCACAGTGACCTAGAAAATGACTCTATGAAAGCACTGGATGATCTCTAAATTAGATGAAATTCATAAGTATCTATAAAAGCTCTGCTATCTGCTGGGAGAGGCTTTTGTGTCCCTTGCAAAGAGTTTTACAATTGCTTGGTTTTCTTCCCTGTTCCCAGTGGGAAGGAAACTAACGTTTTTCAACAGAAAACTTCAAAATTGGTATCTTTTTAACACTCTATGTTTAACAGTACAAGATTCAGTAGATGGCTGATCAGCTACAATGCTGCCACATCTTCAGTATGAGCTACTGAATGAACAGAGGAGGGGAGAGTAGGCAGAAATGGAATCCTTCCTGAATAAAGTTCTAAATAACAAAACACTACTTCATTAAAGTGGTTTGAGCAATCCTACTTTCACTCTGCAGAAGGAAGCAGAAATGAGTGTGGGCAGGTTGGTGTTTCTGTGCTCCTAGAAAAGGGTTCACAGCAATTTTAAGCTATATCAAGTCCAAAGGAACCCATAAACTGCTATTAAGAACAGGAAAGAACCATGCCAAGGGCCCTTCTCCCACAGGGCTGATCTGAGCTGGAGCACTGGACTGTCCTTGGGGCTTCAGCCAGCTAAAGAACACAGCTCCCTCACTCAAGCACATCAGTTTGACCACGAGAGTCACACTGTAAAAGAACTCCCTGTAGCCTGTAACTTTAAATAATTTCTACCACAATAAAAATTTTTCACAAAGTAGAAAGAATTCAAATCACAACAAAAATGCTACAATAGAAGAGGGCACAGGTTTGTCACAATAGAGGTGTTAATACTTTCAGCCTTCGATTTCAGAAGTTAAATGAAGCATTCAACATCAACATGGTTAGAGTAAGGAAAAAAAGAAACAACAAAACATCATACATGCCTTAGCCCTGTAAGAATGAGAGCCACCTTGAAAGTTGATGACACCATAAGCATCAGTAGAGGTCTGTTCTGTGTGTTTTTCCACTGACCATTCTTCTATTTCCTGGTTGTAGTTTTCACCCAGCTTCACATCGGAGTATTTCATAGCCAGACTGGCAGTGAAACAAGCATGTTGTCTGACCAAGCGGCCACAGCAGCACCTGCCAGACCAGCGACATTGCCTTGGTAAATACCATGGTAAGATAAAAAAACTTCCTTTATCCATCGCAGGAATAGAATAGATTCAGAAAGCAAAGATTCTAGGCATTAGACAAACCCCTTTTCCAGAGCTGTTGTCATAAATATTTACAGCAATAGTCAATTACAATACATATTATTATGCAAAATACTGAGGCTCACTAAGCTAGCAAGCTGGAGGCCAGGGGAAATTGCTCTTTGAAGCCAAGTAATTTATATAACATTTATAAATCCGTGACCTACTTATTGCAGGCAGTTCTTTAAACATTAGTTATATTTATTTTATATCTAACCTTTCACCAACTTGTCACTCATAATATTGATCAAAACTTTGAAAACCCTATTATGAATGCACTTATTTAACGAGAATATATTCATAAATATTGTAATTACAAAGACCTATTACCTGACAAGTTGCTGACAAATCTGACATCCTGGAAGGCATCTGTAAGAAATATTTAAAGATATGACTAAACTTCTGACATAATTCACACACAACAGTGAGCAATTCACCAACCATAGGCCATTCTTAGAAACTGAAGGACAAAATGTGGTGGGAAAGTTGTAAAGTCCATTGTAAACTACAAATAGGTTAAACTGAAAGGGCAAGTGTTGAAGACCATTCTGTTCCTTGTTAAATGCTCTGGAAATTTTAACAGCTTCCTAATTACTTTGTTTGCATTTGCAAATTTTCCATGTGCTGCAATCGTGGCTGTAAATTCTAAAAGCTTCCCAAGTCACATGATTTCAAGGAATGTGGTGAATTATTTACAATAATTTGAAAATTCTACAGTTTAGTTATTTTTCTGTTTAAAAATAAAGTACTTAAATGAAAAATAGTAACCCCAGTATACTGCTCCAGTATAACAACAGATTTATAACTGTTTTTTAAGGAAAAGAATGAAATAGAAGTTTTCTCAACCTCAGAAGAAAAGATTTCTCAGCTGCTCTCATATATATGAAGCTTAAGAAAAAAAAGGTGATCTGAAATCCATCATTACAATAGGAAACATTATGAGGAGACAAAACTGCCTTAAAAATACCAGTATTACATCTATTTTCAGTTTGACTTTATTTTATCTGTGACACAAACGTCATGACTATACACATCACACTCAATCATTCTAGGAACTCTTAAATTATACCTGTAACACTTGGTTAAAATCAGCCAGATATACCCTAGAGTTATCACTAACTTGCTTGATTTCACACCTCTAATTTAAGATAAGGTAAAAACAGCATGTGAGATATGCAAAATATTCTTAGCCTCAGTCTGCCCTCTAGAAACATATTTCCCCCATTTTTAGCCTAGTTTTTTTTCCTTTAAGAACTTAAGGATGAAAAATTATTACCCATCACATGAAATCTGAACAGTTCTCATTTATCTGTTTTCCCTAGAAGCAAGTATTTCTTCAGTCTTTTTTCTTTTTTTCTTCACCCCAATTCCTGGTTTTCTTATTCTTCTATGCATTCTTCACCCTTTTTTCCTACACTGTCAGGTTGATTTTCACACTTCACCCTACGCTTACAATGCTGGTTTTTAAATTCCAGTAGAGGATATCACTATGAGACTTTCTGACTTCAGAAATTTCTTTTTCACACCCCCCTCACTGTAAACAGATCACAGGCATCAGTAGGAGGACTGGTAAGAGGCAGCAAAGGGAACAGAGGAACATTTTTTGGAGATTTCTGCAATGCCAAAGTACTTTCAGAAAAAGAAAATCCAATTCACAGAATGACAATGCCCAGTCACAAAAGCACAAACCCAAGACAGTATTTCACACAAAAAAAACAGTCCAACACTCATGAGAATACTGATTTTTTTCAATACTAAAGAGCAGCAATGAGTGCTTGCATCATTTCTCATTTACCTGTGGGGGTCTTTTGAACTTGGTATAATATACACACATTCCCTCTTCGTGAAAGTATTTTCTATCCAGGATTTCTGGGACTGAAAAACAAAAAAATTAATAGTATTATAAAATACAAATCACATGCCTTTGCAATGAAAAATGCTTTTTAAAGAAACAAGAGTTAGAATATGAGGCGTTTGCTCTTTCAAAAACTAACAAAACCATGTATGACCTTATAAAAGCATCTCACACCTCTCTCCCAAAGTTGAGATACCCAGAATCATTACATAATTTATATACAAATCACTTAAAATCAGAAGTCATATTTTTCAAAATTAACATTCAAAAAGCAAAAATTTTAATATGCAAATGCATATATACCCAAAAAAAAACATAAACAATTTTAAGACACACTGTATTCCTATCTTGCTAAGCAAAAAAAAAAAACAAGTAAAATTTTTTAAAATTACCTGCACTAAACTGAGACAATACTAATTTCATCTATTTCACTCTTTAATGAAGTATAATTCTCATTTTGAAATCGTGGGTAAGGAAGCTTTCTAACAACACTGGCAATCTTTTCAACTAGCAAAAAATAGGTCATAACCCTTTGTTCTTCAAGAAACTTTTCATGTCAGTAAATAAAATTAATTGGGATCTCTGAACTGTGTTCTAAGGTTAAATTTGAAACATGTTCTGAAACATGAAATTAACGATGTTCAATACTTTAAATGCTTACTATTCTAATAACTGGACATAATTTCATTTCAGTTGCTTTAAACAACCACATTAACATTATCTCACATAATAATCTTAAGTTAGTTGCCAAACATCATAATGCATAACATCTATGTCATGTTTCAGCAATACATTGGGAAAGAAATTCAGATAGGACTTTTAGAAATTAAAAACATGAAAAAATCTTGGAATGTTAATTTGCATCTTATGCAATATTATTTTAAATCCTGAGATTACATTAATATTACATCATTGCTAACAGCAATCTACTATATTCACATTTTACCTTTAGAAAAATTTGATCAATTTCACACTGTTTTATTTTGCAAGGGGAAAAAAGACTGATGGATATTATTCCCAGGCATCTAATCGGAGATCTACAGAAGCAATGAAGAAATGAAGATTTTTTTTCTTTTTTTTAGATTATAAGAGAAGCTTAAGCAAAGATGGATGCATTTTTCACTCACTGCAACTTCAAAATCAGTTTAAGATAATACAGAGACATTATTGCAAGTAAGAATGTACCAGCTAATTTTAATAAAGACCCCCAGAAAATGGCTCCTGAACTGCCCCATCCTCTTTCAAAACATTTCCCAGACTCAGCAGATCTTTCCTACATTATTCATCATGATCACCTCCCAATATTTTGCTTTAGTCAACTTTGATGAAGAATTTATCAAGACAGCAACAAACTGCTGTTCCAGATTCTGTCTTCACATTAAGAAGCCCAACAGCCTCTTCCAGGGAGCAGGAAAAGTTGCAGAGTAAAGGCACTTCTTGAGACAGAAAGAAGAAGGAGAAAAGATGAAAATCCACAGCAAAGAATCATGGAAGGAAAAGCAAGACAACAGAAGGAGCACTCACACAGTGCATTTTACATTTAAACGAATCCTTTAAGCACCTGGAATAAATTAAACAGCCAGAGTCATCATTTGCTACCGTCCCAGCTCCTCTCCCTACAGATGTGATACAGGAATGAATGCTGTGGCAAAGGAGAAAAGCAGGATATTAAACATCATATGCAAACAGGGTGTTATGGACGATTCCTTTACACCATTTATGGTCCTTCCCCCTCTTTTTTGTTTGTTGTTTTTTTTTGCTGTGTTTTCTTTCCATGCTCCTTTGAAGCAGAACAAAGTGACTGACCCTTAAGAGGTTTGTGAAAGAGATCTCTTCCCCTGCTGTCCTCAGAATTCATCTCTAATCCTTCAGCAGCATCTCCTCAGTTCTTTAGTAAGGGAAGTGTACCATCCACCACAAAGGAGCTGAGTATTTCCTAGGACACCTTTGCCTTACAAGAGCTGGGGATAAAACAGCTCTCTCTCTTCTCTGTCTTTATCAGATGATTAGCACTGCCACAAAAATAAACTTGATATATGTGTATATGTACATTTATACAAACATCATACTAAATGTGTATTTTTACACATAATAACTAGTCCAAAGTTTTAGCTTCTTGCTAAGGTTTTTTTTAAGCACTATTAAGCTTTAGCTTTTGTGAGATGCATCTCAGTTCTGGAAGCTACTTTCTCTTGCCTGAGTCCCCACTGTTTACCCGGGAATTTTTGTATTTAATTTCTTAAAACTGAGCATTAGTTTAACAGTGCAGTAGTTTAAGCTTAAGTCTGTAGATCCTCCAGAATATAAAAAAATTCAGAAGAGTAATTTAATACTTAGATGTTTCAGCCAGCTGGCTAAAACCACACCTTGAAGCAAGAGATCACAGGCATAACACGCTAGATGTCAAAATCCAAAGAATATAAACCACAAGCAATTGCGTCAATTGCTCCACGCAATATTGTTTTATTATTAAGTGGTGATCAAAGCTGGGGACAAGGAACACTGCTCACAATGTGCAACACTACTTTTCATAATAAACACTTCCCCAAAATAAGAAAAAATCAACAAATACAGGCTCCCAAAACAAAACAACTAACCATTCATCAATTTTTCTCAAAGAACGTAATTTTAACCACTCATCAAGGATTTCTCTCAATTCTTCAGCAATGCAAATATTTTCAGCACAGCATCACTACATCTATATGTCACACCAAGTCACCCCAAGTCAGTTATTTCTGTAGAAGAAGCTCTGTAACATTATTAAATCATACTTGGAACTTTTTGATAAAATTAAGACTCTCTCTAGAAACATGCCTGCATGCTAATTCATCTTTATTGCAGCAGATTTTATACAGAATTTGCTAATTCCAGAGTCCCGTATTCTTTTGAGAGTGGGAAAAGAAAAAAAGAAAAAAGAAAAATGAAAAAAGGAAATACAAACCAAGATGAGAAAAGAACTGCGTGAAAGACTGAAAGACACTTCCCATAAATGGGTAAAAATCGTATTAAAAATGTAGGAAGTATTGCCTTCCATGTAAATAAGAACTATTATTACATAATGTTCCTGTGATGACCAGAAAAAGGAAGATGATATGAGGACACTGCTAAGTATAAATTAGTTGCAGCAGTTACCTCTAAGAAAGATTTCCTCATCAGCTAAAGATTAAGTTAAAATAGGAGATCAAGTCAGACATCAGAAATCAGTATGCAAGTTATCAGACTGTTTAAGAAAAATTGCCTACTCTTATTAAAGCTTTTTTATCATCTGAACAGGATACAGAACTCCACCCCCCAAACTCTGTTCCCAGTAACAGGCAGCTCCTGCTGTTCCAAGTGCTCTGTTTTCCCAGTGTATTTTTAGAAGATGCACTTTACACCATGGTTATGGGTAACATGGGTCAGGAGCCTCTTAGCAAAAAGCACAAGAAGCATCAACATATAGACATCTACTTTTCAACTATTTACTTTCTTTCCTTTCAAAATTCCATCTTGTGGGAAAAAACCTTAGCTTCACATATTCTTTCCTGTGCATTCACAATCTCTCAAGCTAAATAAGACTTACAAGAAAAAATTTAATACCATTTATATTATTCCAGAACTACCTTCACTTTTCTCCTCAGGCAAGACTATGAAAATTTCACCAAATAAGACCTCTCAGCAGACAATGCTGGGAGGATCTTGTCTATTCACATAAAAATTTTTCACTTTTACCTTTTTGGAAGAAGTAGTACAGTAACTACAAACTCCTCATCCCAAAGAAGCCAACAAGGCTTTTACACGGACTTTAAGCTGTAGGTTTCACAAGACACCTCATTCTCTGAGCAAAGTTTCCTGTGTCTTTCAGTACTTCTGAAAGTCAAGAAGCAGAAAGCAAATAGATTTGATCCTATCATCTAGAAGAGATATACTCACTCTGGGATCATGATTAAAATAAACACTTCACAATATTTTAAATAAATATGTCCTCTCCCAACAGTTTCACCAATGCTGAAATAATTCTAATTGCTGTTTGAAACAAAACTTTCACAATTACTTGCTGAACTACAAACTCAAGAGAACATGCTCAATTATTTCTGACTTCTGGAAGTATCTAAATACCAAGATAATCCTATGGCCTTTTAGAAGGTGGAATTTTTACCATAGCCATTTTAATATTAACTATGTTTGATTTAACAATAGCATTAGCACTCCAAAGCTCCAATAAGAGAGATTATTTAAATGTACCTGCTCAAGATTTATGTTATCTTTACTGAAATTCACACTGGATAACTTTAGCAAGTATCTTTGCAGAAGAAATGTTTACCACAAACTATAATTTCAGGTTTTGCATATGGTAGGTAAAAAGAAAAAAAAAAACAAACCAGAAAAACCCCATCACCAAAGTACAGAATGAGATCAGGTCTCGGAAATAAAAATCAACCCTCTACCAGTCTCCCCCCTTTAGCTCAGTCTATCATTCAACATATTAAAATTAGAAGGCAATTAACTTCTAGCAATTGAGGCATGGCAATATGGCAAAGCCTTATCAAGCTATTGTAAAATTCTCAAAGTTTATTCAACAAGCTTGGTCTGAATTATTTTCTCTATAGAAAGTAAGCCTGCCTGCTTGGCAAGATCTCCAAATGACTTGCATGATTTTCAAGTAACACAAATATGGCAGGTATAAATAATATTTGTAGCTGGCAATCCTGAACTTCTTCATGCACAAAGGGATCTCAGTTTATTTTTTCTACTATGTTGTGATACTGTATACTTTGTAAGATCATAAGTTACAATATTGTAACAATATTTGTTACAAAACTAAAATTCAACTTTTCCCAACAAAACGCCCCGGAGTCTGCGACAGTGCATACCAACCCAGCAGCTCTCCAGACAATTTTTCAATAAAGCTCCCCCCTGAATCAGGAAATTTACTTGAATTAATAAATAATTTTCCAAACTGTGACCTTCGTGGAAGGCTGGTAATGGGGATTTCAGTTACTGATTGCATAGACTGAGCTTCAAATTTAGAAATCATATC